TCTCAGCAACGTTGTGGTTGTATTTCGCTTAGTAACCTGCCATGAAAATTATAGAAGGCAGAAAATAAAACGTTAAACATATATATATATATATATATATATATAAACATATAACGTATATATATGTAAATTATATTTTATGTTCCTTTATAAAGGAAAAGGAATTTATTATATATATATAAATTGTTACAATAATTGGGAACGAAATTTAAATTTTTAAAATTTTGAACGCACACACTTTATCCGCATACGAACGGTACATTGGGCAATACTGTACTATTCTTCTCAACGAATTCTGAATTATTCTGCTGATTCTTTGTTGGAAACACGCGCCGCGAGAATGCAAGTGAAGAAAAATTTTTTTGAGCTCGAAAAGATGAGCTTCGTTTGGAAGAATAAAGAAAACTGCTCGAATTGGTAAACATCTATATATTTTAATTGTTTTTTTTAGTAATAGAATATGCTATGATCTAAGATATTACGGTTGCAAGTTGGAAGAGATCATTATTTCTATGGGTCGAAAATGATTCATGTGGTCGTGAATAAGCTTAAGCTACTGAATATGGTTATATACTAATTTCCCAACACGAAGGCATACTAGTCACCGTTGATGGGGCGATCCAAATTGTACAGTAGGACACCACTTCTCGAGAACTCTTCAGTTCCGTGGTTAACTGAAAGTCAGTTTTTGGATTCTAAGGAAGTGATGGTTATTAGAAGCACGTATTGTTCTTTTGTTCCATTACCTTTCACTTTTTTAACGATTTTATTAATATGAAATAAGGCGAATTCTCCTCCGTTACTCGTAAAGTGTAGATTGAATACGACTGTTTCCTATTATCCCATTAGCGCATTACTAAATTATTTTCTTCACAGGGTGGAGGAACCAAATATCTTGTTGAAAAAAGGACTATTTTAACTTGTAACTGTGCTAAGTTCTTTGAAAATGTTATTCATTATCATGTAACGTACGATTTGCTCATATACGTGCAAATGTGATAGCGTTAGTGGACAACTTGGACGTACAATGAAGATTTTCAGTTTAGTGGGTTCCGGAATTTTGTCCATACTATGTATCTTTATTTGTCAGCTGATCGAGAGCGGACCATTTATAGGAGGAATGCGGTCAGAAGAGCCATTCTTTACATTTAACGATTTATACAAAAGCTTTTTTCGAACCAATTCATTGACCGGTAGTTCGACTAAAAATTAACTGTAATTCATCTTACTCACTATGATGAATCAGTGCAGATGTGGGCTCCCCAAATCAATCCCGTTGACGGGTGATTGCTGATGGCATTCGTAGATAGGAAAGTAGCTGAGAGAAACGCAGAGCAAAGGCCTCAGTGGCACAGTGTGTAATACGCGAGCTCCCGGAAAGAGAAATTGTGGTTCGATCTGACCCAGTGCCCAAGTTTTGTGAATATCTCAGCATAGTTGCGGTTGATTTCACATAATGTCCTGCCGTGGAAATTGTAGTAGGCAGCAAATAAAAAAGTAAACGTGATGAATCAAGGTTATTGCTTGAAATTTGCGGTTGTAAAAATACGGAAGTAGACTCAACATAGGCGACAGAAGCCTTTCAAATGCTGGCAGAAATGTATTTGCATAATAGCCCATAAAAAAGGATAAAGCTTTCGGCGTTGATCAATTTCTAAGGGATGCGCCATGCATTCGACTTCAATATGCATCGTTTGGAGGTGATTGAATGCATATCTGGTCTTTACAATGACTTGCGGTGGCCCACCGAAGTGTCGAGCCAGTGCTGCTATCCTCCGAGACAAGTCTGGCACCAATTTGCCGACCCCGGAGGGATGAAAAGCTTGGTAGGTTATGGGAGCTGGATCGATTCCACGTATGTTGCAGGGTGCCTCCGACCGCTGCGCAAGACGTGCCCTTAATAGTCCATAATAGCACAAGAAATAATAGCATACTTACCATTCATATCCATTTCCCGATGTTGCAAAGTGTCTTCTACAATCATATCTTATTTACAGCTTTTCAAGTCTTCTGGTTATCGAAAACTTATTGATTTCGAAAAAACAGGCATGTTTTGGCTGGAAATTACGAGCCGTTCAAAGCGGTAGGGTTGAAAGTGCGCGCGTCCGCTATATATTAATCAAATTCGCTCGAACATTGTCGAGACAAGGATGTTTTGAGTATTTTCCGGTTTAGTCACGTAAAATGAAAGAAAAGAAAAGAAAACGCAAGGACTTTTGCGAATGAGTTATTTGTGCATTTAATTTCAGGTGGTGAGGTAATCACAGGAAAACTCCGCATAGAATTGCGCCGCGCCATAGTTATCAACGCAGTAAAATTACAGCTGAAAGGTCGCGCCACCTGGTTGAATGATCCGTTGAAAAAAGGCGACATTGAAAAAGTAAGGTTTACCTAATTTTTTTACTTTTTCTTGGTAATGTTACCTTGATACTTGGATGGTTTGTCTTCAGGGGAACTGCGGGCTTCAGCGCAATTTCCACTCGTTCCTGAACAGGGCGATTTCCACGAAGCGCATTCCGTAAACGTAAACAGGAAATCGTGCCTATCTGCGAATGCAGACAGTTGTTAGCTGTAAACACATCTGAACATCGTTTGAGTGGTCTTCCAAGAGGTCTCTTCCATTCTCTTGGAATCCATTCTATTTTTCATTCCTGTCATCTCTTCTTATTATGGGACCGGCACATCTATGTTTCGCTATTGATTTATATTCTTTTGGATTCCTAAGATTGGTTCAGTTTCGAAGATATGAGTTGCATATTCCGCATAGGAAGTGTAAGTGCTGGTCAAATTTTAGGTCTCGTTCAAGCGCTCTGTAGGTGATGCAAATAGTTGTTGAAATGGTTAAAATACAAGCCCACCTCGCTGCTTCATAGCAGAGCCTTGGTAGGACTGTTGAGTTCGAAAAATGAGCGCGGAGTTTTGGATCATTCAGTTGGTCAGTAGGTTTTTGAAAGGAAGGTGTGCGACCCTTTTACATTACCGTTGTGATTGTTAACATTGTGATTTCGACTACAGCCTCAGCATGACTGCGTTCAATGCCGATTTGTGCTCCCTAGATCAATCCCGCCGACAGGTGATTGCTGATGGCAGCGTTAGGTAGCAAACTAGCTGAGAGAAACGCAGATCGAGAGCATCGGTGGTGCAGTGCGTAGTACGCGAATTCGCTGAAAGGGTAATTGTGGTTTGATCTGGTCATGGGTGCAGGTTTTGCCAATACCTCAGCATCGTTGTGCTTGTATTTTATATCGTGCTCTGCCGTGAAAAATTATAGTAGGCGGCAAATAAAAGGTTAACATTGTTCTATAACTATTTCGTTATTAGATGCATATCAAGGCGAGACTTAGTGGTAGTCCCATTTCCTTTCATCAGGGCGAATAGCGAAACATAATTGTCGCAGCGATCCCGATCGAGCTTCTTCAGAATCTTTTTTGAGCTGTTTCTAGCAAATTTTTCTGAATTTTTCTGCCCGTGTTGGTGTAAACCCTCCTGCAAAGATTTTCTACCGTCTGCATTCATTCAGTTTCGTTCTCTTCCCAAGCAATTTTTTAGTTCTAATGGGTCTTCGGTCCAAACTTCTTATTTGTGCAGTTGTGTTGAGTCCAGCGCAAATTTTTCCTTTGAAGAAGCACCTTGCAGTCCTCGGTTGGGTCCTCCTTTATCGGTCATTCATATGAGAAGAGGACTTCATTGAGAATATCCTCGTCGTACAGGTTTTGTCTTGTTTTTAGTGGACAATGACAGGGGTTCTTTACCAACTTGTAACTGAATCGACTCTTCGCACGGGGGAGACAGTGAGTAGATTCAGTACAGAATCCAGTTGCCAGTGGTTGTCGAAGAAGCGCCATTTTCTGTTCATGTGAATATAAGTCGTTCCGTTAGGAGACTCCGACGTCCGTTGGCGATTTTCTCTGTCCTCGAAAATTGCATTCCCATGGAAGAAACATACCGCAACCAGGAGTCCTACGAGATGCTTCCAATTCTTGTTTCGTTCTCCTATTCCAAATTTTTCTATTCTGTATTCATTTCCGCTAGCTGTTATTGTTCTGGTATTGAATTTCCCAGCAATAAATTTGCAAAACTTCCTGTTCTGGGTTACTTCTTCCAACTGGTTGTAGAATACGTTCAGTTCTCTTTCATCAGCTGCACCAATTGGTGAATAACAATTGATGATACTGACTTTTTTTGATGCGCATGTTGGAGAGGAAGAATGGCCAAGCGCGGTCTTAGGATCTCGTGTGGAGTGACTTCATGGAAGCCTAAGCGAGGCCTTCCTAATGTCGTCACCACTACATTGTCGCCGGCCGTTGTGGATCTGAGGAAAATTTATCACCTTGCGAATAGCTTGGTACCAGGATGGCAGTGATTCCCGATATTGGTTTACTCTTAGCTGATCTTCCTCACGGGAACGTCGGGTTTTCAGCTTGAAAGTCGCTGCTTGGGCATAAGCCATCCTACTATATATCGCAGTCCGACTCCTAGTGATAGTTTCCAGCTACCATGAGGCGGTAAGCTGTTGGATAGTTTTAGTAATTTTAATCACTTTAGTCAGTCATTTTGATTGGAGGCATTAAAATCTGTTACTTACGAGATTGTTTAGGTTTATTTCGATCAAGATTTTATACTTCTTGAACGACCTCCAGGAAAACCTGAACCAGGTCATTTCACGTGGATCGGTGGATTCCCATATACTCTCCCATTTGAATGTCCTCTTCCGAAGGTATCATGTATTTTAATATGGTGATAAGTTTTATTTGTTCTGAGGTGTGAGCCAAGTTTTATATTTAATTCGTGCTTAAACCACAGTATCCATTCGGACTCCGATCGGCAGTCCAAGGTGATGCTTGAGACAAGGGATTTTTTTATACGATTACATTTATGTAGAGGTAATTTTGTGTTTTGTTATTGTGGATTTTGCAATAACAGTTTGTAAGAATTATTAATTTCTTGAGTGCTAGTCGTAACATTTTAAAGCTTATTTGTTACTTAACACTTACGACGCAGTGTGAGTTGATTTTATTACCACCTGCGAAAATAGCTGCCCTTTTGAACTTTTAACAAATATATTTCAACTCAAAGTGAACATTATTAAATACAACAAAAAATATTAGATTCTTCAAATTTTTGACTGAACCATACAACTTTTATTTTTCTACGATCAAATTCTGGTCTTCTGGAGCCCAACAAACGTAATTTTGCAATTTTTTCGTGGAAGCTCGTAAAATGCTAGCAACTGATCTATTACAACACCGCGGTATCGTTGTACGCTTTTTTGGTTTTTATGACTGCCATTTCGTTTGGAGTTTTAAAAGTCCAAATTGCCTTTTCATTCCTTTTAGGAATTTCTGTTTAATGCAGCTTTAGGAATCAAGTAGTGGTTTTAAAAAAGCATACTTAGTTTTGCATAAATAGAGCGATGTCTTTTCTATAAAAATGAAAAAGCTCTCGACGTTTGTCAATCCCTGAGAGGTGCGTCATGCATTCGACTTCATTAAGCATCGTTTGAAGGTGATTTAATCCATATCTGGCCTTTACATTGACTCGCGGTGACCTACTGATGTATCGAATTAGTGGTGCTATCCGCCTAGCCAAGTCTAATACCGATTTGTCCACCCCAGGGTAGGCCAGGGGCGCGAGGATCGATTCCATGTGTGTTGTAGGGCGCTTCCAACCACTGCGCCACACGCGCCCATCGGTTCTGTAAGCTGATCGTATTTTCAACTTTTCCAAGTGTTCTAATCATCGAAGAATTACCAGCAGTTTTGGATAAACCGGCTGCGGTACGCAAGTATTCATTATTTACCGTAGAGTGCGTTTTCAACATTTAGTTTATAGTTTTTTTTAGGCCAGTCTAAATGATTCTGTTAAGAAAAAAAAAGTAACGTTTTGAATTATGATGTCACATTTTCCTAGTAGTGCTACGGAAGCGCCTCAAGATATCGTCAATGGTTAAGCAAGAGGCGCGCTTTCCGGACGTGCGGGACCTATGTGCTTCAAAAACCTTAGAAAAGTCTTGGATGCTCATCAGCAGATGATAGCAACCGTCTGAATTTGAAAGTCTAAGCTAACACTCGGAACATTGTTCGACATGTATCAGAAGCACGCAGTGTTAATCGTTCACCGATTTTTAGTTGTCCTGAAAAGTATTGTAAGGTAAAGATGTTCGATAAATGCTTGCGAATTCATCGAAGAGCAACGAGACCGTTGTTATAAAATCTTTGCCTCGCTTTTTTTTTGCGTGACCACGACGATCCTTTTTCGAAAATGGGATAAAACAGGTTCCAATACGACAGTCGACAGAATATATCGCAGTGGTTTCGTTGAGTTGAGGGTTTAGACATTTTCCAAAGAATTTGAAGTAGGAAAAGGTTATGGTAATCGTTTGGTTGTCTACAGGCGGACTAGCGTCATTTACAACCAAGCACAACACTCTGAATCTTGGTGAAATGTCAGCAGCAAGTAGAAATACGTTTATTAGATAGAGTAGAGTTCTATCTTGTTGGCAAAAATCTGGTGTGGTTCTTCTTTCAATTGTTGAAGTTATCTTTGGATAGGTATATGAATTTTCAAATTTCCCATTCAAGAGCCGCGAAAACCTCAATTACTCTGTGTGTCTCACTTTAAGCTGAGTTTGAGCGTATTTTTAAGGGATGTCCGATGTCGTACGAAGGACCCTATGCGTTCATACGTTATTTCATCAAGGCCAGTCTAATTCACGAGCAAGATGATGGAGGGACGGTATGCGTATTCCTATTATATAAGTATTTTTTGTGATGAAAAATAAGCACTGTTTATATAATCCAGGCTTTGCTTTAGAAGGAATACTACGTTAAAAAGGCGTTTTCAATCGTACCGCCATCGGAAGGGTATTTGTTAAAAGGAGAACTAGTTGTAGTGAATCAGTTGGCGCTATATGGAAGTTGTTGCTGTAAGGGAAAGGTGATTACGCCCCTCTATTTCGCAAGAAGAGATTTTCCATTTAAATTACTTTTTCGATACAGATATCCGTTGAATTATCATTGCCTAAGACCGGTTACTTGCCTGGTGAAATGGTCGTTGGAAAATTAAAAATTGGCAATAAATATCCTAGGGATATACTGCAACATGTAAGTTATTCGTTTCTGTCTGTAAACACGACTGAACATGAGCAGCAGGTCAGAAGAAAATTTGCATCATGTTATGTTTAGTTCACTCGAGAGTTATGTAATGAAATATCAGGTATTCTCAGGTAGAAATCCGCCTCGTGGATCGTGTTATTCGTATTGGAGCCCCAGAAAAGTCAGCTACTTCGCCGTATCGGACGCTTTACTATAGAAAAAATCAACCAACAAAAATTGCAAAAGGAACAAAAGATATTCAAAATGATGATTTTTATCTTCTGACAATCCCTGCTGTTTGTCCATCAACAAAAGGTGTGACCGTTTCGATTGTAATCCTATCGGGCATGGTTGAGAGTGAATCAGGGACTTCTTTTTTTAGGAGATGTAGATGCACTGAAAAATGAAGTCCATAGTTTGAGTCCATCAACTGCTGTTGTAGAAAGTCCATCCACAGCAACGTTGCGTTTTAGAAAGTTACCATTCATCAATATAGAGTATGCCATTCAGGTATGACAGTGTGAAATTGATTTCGAATGGACAACTTAACAAATTTCAAATTTTATTCACGTTTCAGGTTTCTTTAGGAAATATTGTTTTACTTGAAGCCCCAATAACGGTTGGAGAGTTGCCTACAAACGACCCTACTACCGTCTTAAAGTCATTCGTTGGTGGTCCTCAGCCAATTCAAGAAGCGGAAGAAACGGAAAGAATCTCTGTTGGGGGCCCATTTATGTACACACCCGTGTACCCAATGATGGCGAATTCCTCTAGTGATAATGAATCCAAGCCGAAAAATGACGGTGATTATTATCGTATCTTTAAAACGTTTTAGTTACAATATTTCCGGAATTACTACCATCCATTGCGCTTGCTATTTTTAGTGATCCGCAATTTTCCAGGCTTTCCCAATAATATATGCGCTATCACAGAAGAAGCTACCAAACGACGAAACATAACTAGCAGTCCGACGGATGGAGCTGTTGTTATAAACCTTGAAAGAGTCTGCGAAAAATCATCTCCAGAAGATTCAGTTGGCACGGAGCTACATGTAGGTTACCATGACAAACTAGCTGTCATCTATTTCATCAGTTCTGTTAAACTGATGATTCACAATAGTGATGGCGCTTTCAGCGACAGCAATCTAGCCATCTTCAAAGATTTTCTGGAATAGTGAGGATGACAATTTTCATTTGTCCACAAGCTTCCTTTTTATCTGTTCTACTGATTCCGCTAACGGCTTTTAAACTGTTAGACAAAGCATTGAAGATTAGTTTCTGGATGTAGAGATATTAATAATTATGTGTGGAAATACCTAGGCTCATGACATGAGAAAGTGCTCCCTAGTCCTTTTCTGTTAGGTCACTCATGTGGTAATCTTCAAACTCGTATACGTCACTGTCCCAATCAAAAATCGTGTGAGATCTGTTAAGACGCCGAAGTCAAGAATGTGTTTTCCAACAATCCAGTAGTGAACATTCATCCTACTTAAAGAAATGGACGACGAAAGGTTAAAAGCAGACCAAAGGCGAAATTGTAGTTGCCGTGAAAGGAGTACATTTATGTGATGGGCTTGCTGTCTCTGTTCCCATGGGTACGCCATTCGTATAGACGTAATATTCACATCCATGTATGCGTGCTTGGACCTTTATGTAGTTTGTTTTGGAAAAGTAGGTCGACTTATCCATAGGCATTTATAACCAGCAACATTGGAATTAATGAAGTTTATTCCGCTGACTCTGAAAGAGCTCTCCATGCATGTGTTGAGTAGGATGGATACGGAGAAGTGAATGAAGTCTCAGAACCATTCTAGGCTTTCTAAGGGTTCACGACGATTTGTATCTACAGCATGTGCACACTGAGGTCTAAATCCTTCAATGCGGGCCTGATAATACATGCAGACTATTAAGCACGACTTCATTAGACTCCCGATGTGAGGAAATGTCGTCCATTTGAAAGCTTTCATAGTAGCGGAGAATTGTCCCTCGGATAGTGAAGTTGATAGTGCTAGTGTATTTGTCAAAGTCGTTTTGATCGTTAGCATTTATTCTTCTAACAACTAACGATCTGAGTCGCACGTTTATAGTTGAAAAGACCAGTGGAGGCTTTGACATTCTTCATAGTCCACCCCTAAACATCATTCCATTCTATGACAAAGGTCAGAGTGCTCTGAATGGACTTAGAGAAGTTGTACAGCGAAGACCAAATCTTCTTCGAGGTCATCATTGGCGACTTCACCGCTGAGATTAGACCCTGCAGAGCGTCTGAAGAACATTATATTGGGATCCGTGTATTCGAGTTAGCGAATAAAGTGAGCGGTTGTCTGAGTTTACCGCGATGACCAAAACCGTCCATGCAAATTACAATTGTAGGAGCTCGTTTTTAACGTTGAATCTGAAAATTTATTAATGGGAACTAAAATAACAAAGTCGGCAACCATATCAGATAGGTTCTACCTAAGCAGTTTTTTTATCTAGCAAGAGTACAAGAAGCCGCCTCGTAGCGCGTTCATCAGCTTGGGAAGGTAGACACGCTTGGGACAGATGTTGTCGCAGAAACTTTTCATGGCGAAAATACCCTGCCAAAGATATAAATACCCGTAATAATATTTTGTTCTACTCATCAACTTACACGAAGTTAAAAATTTATTCAGCCAGCCTTCTGGCGCCTCCGTCTTTTTCAGCGTCGCGTTGGTCGGGGTTGAGTGTCCACGGCCGTTGATTCTTCCACTGCAAGTCTTTGTGAACGCATTAAGTCGAGTCTATTGAAGCACTGCAGAAAGGCTGTGGACAATGGACTCGGTTTAGTCTGCATCCGAAGAAGAGGAACACGTCAAAACGTTATCCGAATGGAACTTGTATAACGTTATAACATCCTAATATATGCTCAAGGAAAAAACAAAATAATATTGATTATTCATTCTGAAGTTAAGTGAAAGTTGGTTTTCAAAGTTAGATGTCCCTAATTAGCTACACAATAACTTCATAAGCAGAGTTACTGTTGTGCAACGAGAATAATTACTCATATATGGAGAAATCCGCAAAACTATTCATTGTCATTCTCGAGAATGTAATACGGAAAATACAATGAGGCAACACGGCAGTGAAATCCGTTTTCCGAGAAGTGTCTTCGGTTTACTGATGACATTGTTCCTGAAACATCAATCATTAACCAAGAGGGACGAAAACTGTCAGATTTCAACAGCTACTTCCAAACACTGAAAAATTGGCTTTAGTTGTTACGGCTATACTCTCCAGTGGGAAGTTGAGTGGTGTGCTGAGCAAGAGAAAACGAGCGGCTTTGGGATCTCGCAGGGGCATAGACAATGTGGTGAAAAGGACGAGAAACGCTTGAGTTCCTGCCAATGTTTCCGGCTTTATGATTATTTCCACCTTACCTCTATGGCGGAACGCTGATTGATGTATAATCAGGAATACGATATCATGAAGATGGTGCTACGAGTACTCCATGCGATGTAGTTGAGAGACATGTTCCAAAATCTTGAACCAAAAACCGGAAATCATGTGGTATACTCCAGTATGTCGAGTATTCGGTGTACCCAATGCGTGGTGCGTCTTGATGACAAACGGTGGATAATAGTTTTTGACGTCTGCGTGCCACGGTATAGCCAGACCTCCTTTACATGTTTTGGAAGAAAAGTATGCTTTCGTGATTTCTAGAGAAAGTTGAACTTACTAAGTTGTTCTTGCATGCGACGTAGTTGGTCTGAGACTTCGCTGGCGCTTGTTAGAGTGAATCGGCGATTTACAGGAGTATAAGTGGTATGGCATCATCTATTTGTCAAAAAACAATGCAATCAAGAGAAAGGAAAATGGTGTAATTACGGATCCGAAACCTACTTACCTGCGTTATGACAAAATGAAATATTGATAGTATGTTATTCATTTCGGGATACCGTACTTGCAACTTTTCCAATTTTTAGAAAGGCTCTGGTGATTTCGTGCAAGGATCGGACGTAGAATGTGGAGAAACTACAGAGGTATGTCCGTTTCGTGAATACTTTTCAACCAATGTTTGGAGGATCAACGATCACGGTTACTTTAAATTTTCTCGAGTTTTAATCAGCTGTAGCCTCTCGTTTAACTGATATCCTTTTATGACTAAGTGGCAGTAGTTGTTTTTTAATGTTCAGATTGCAAAGGAGAACGGGACAAACGTGGTTCGAACGACAACCATTGGAACACATCATGATGATTATGGGTCGACGTTGGTGCAGGTGCAAACCAAGACAACGGAACTTAGTGTTAAAAACTAACAATTCCGCATCCCAACCTTCTTCATTTTCTCATGAAGCTGCCTTTATGTTTAGTGCATAATTCTTTTAAGATGATTCGATTTATTGTAAAGTGCTGTAGATCATCTACTACCACGAAGGTTTTCCTTTGTGGAATCGTAGTGGATAGCAGCAAATGTTTTCTAGATGTAACCTTATCATAGCAGCCAAGGTTCAACACAAACTTCACGTACAGCGAGGTTCATGCCGTTTCGTCTGTTCACTGTGAAATTTCCAGTTTTAGCTTCGTGATTCTGCTTTGTTCTGTTTACTTTCGTCTCCAGAAGTGATTGATCTGGTTATCTCATCCTAAAATGTTAGGACACTTAATGTTTATTTTTGCCGCAGTTCTATTCTGTACCATTTGTTGTTTAATGTTCATAATTTTTAATCGTATAAAATCGTCGCAGTTATGAACAAAGCGTAGCGATGTTTGCTGACTAAACAACAGTGGTGACATTGTGCGCGTGAGCCGGGATAGGCGATCTTTCACAGCGCGAGTTACGGCATTAAAAAAAATCATTAAGAGGGGGAGGAAATGGTTTGCACGTCTGGAAATCCATTATAATATGACAACTGGCTAGCGGTTTAAAATAGATCAATGTCCCATGTGTCCACAGTTTTATTTGCGAACTGTCCTAAAGCGACACGGTGTTCGTTAGGGTTTTCCTTTATAAAAACACAAACAGAACAGACCTTAGACAGGGTATACATATCTATGAACTTTAACAACCTGCTAACATTTTTTCTCAGCCAAAGAAAACGAGACGTTATCGTTGGACGGTGCTAAACCGAAAAATACGCAAGCATATTTGGAAAAGCAAATACTGTGCATACCTACTGAGTGGAGCATGAAAACTTTATAAAGGTAACGATAAAACCAATAAATACAAGACTACAACCTTTCAGATATTGAATGATATGGGAGAGTTATGTAATGACAATAATCAGTGTGGCTCAATCTTGATTGGGACAAAAGCACAATAATCTGGTACCTATATAATCCTACTCTAATGATTTGAAAGGAAGAAAAAAACCCATAGAGAATAAGATCACGATACTATTCCTGCTTTCCTGGCCAAGGAATAGAACTCGGACATTTTATTGGCGAGTAGATTAGCAGGGCTGTCAAATTCGCATATTCGCCCTTCGTTCAATACTATGACCCTGGAAATTATAAAGTGTTTTATTGAAAAGATAACGACGTAGACAAACCCTTGACATGTACCACTCTCAGCGATAATTCATCACGCGTTTGTGTTCCATGGGTTATTGGATTGGATGCGAATTAATAAATCATTTTCGAGAAAACATTTCCTGCTTCAATCGTCTCTTTGCTCCGCTTTACTCACTTACGCTGTATGCGACTCCAAGTTTTCCACAAAAATAGCGAATGCTGAAGCTCGTAAAAGAGATCAGCAAAAAGTTCTATAAATATTCAACTCAGATGCTCATTTATTACAAGTTCACTTTCACTAGCAGTATGCACGTTGTAGTAAACGGCAGGAACAAAAAAGAAGACACCACGCACGACTTCAAACGATCCTCTTTAACACTGCCCTTTATTGCCTGTGAGACGACCCTTCTTAAATGGAATGGGTTAGAGCTGACATATCTTCACCAATCAGCACAAGTTGAGGCGAAAAATGGAACAAGCATAACAATGAGCGAATAAACATTCGAGTCACAAGTCCACCATCCAGGAATGGTTGCATGAATTCAGCTCCTGCAGAGCAGCAATTGATTGAAGTTAATAAATCACGACCCCTGCGCCCATTTATCAGGCCCTGCTTCTGCCGCTTCCGCAGCAAAAGAAGACCGAAGGATTATATAACAGCTGGAGGCAGCTGAATTCCCCAACAAATTAGCCTACGTTAAGTCCTCTGATTGCCCAGGAAAGGGTCTCAGAATCTCTCAGAAAAAAAACACAAAGCTGATATACATGAAGTTGCTGCCAAAGCAAGTGTGGACAAAAATGGTTGTCTAGATTGCAAGCGGTCCCAAATCCAAAGTAGCCCAGGATTAATGCCATCTCATTTTCATCACTTCTGAGACCAGAAAATTCCCGTTGCATCAAGCACTTCGCCGACATCAAAGACATCAAAGCAGAACTAAATCTGATTTTTCGACTAGCATTGGAACAGTATTCCGCTGTCAGCCCTGATTGACGATGATGGGATCACAAGATTGCTGAGATATTTGCAAAATTCCGGACCGCAGGTGTCTGCCGTGAGGAACGAACGCGGTATTGTCCTTTCCGGGGAGCAATACGACCACCACCACACCATGCGGGTCCTTCGTTTCGCCTGCCTCTCAGCTAGTTCTATCGATCTCTGTCGTCAGCAATCACCCGTCAACGGGATTGATCTGGGAAGCCCACATTGGCATTGAACCCAGTTAAGCTGAAAGTCTTTGAAGGCCCGGAGTTTTGCAAATATTTCAGTAATCCTGTGGTTGTATTTCGCTTAATACCCTGCCATAAAAATAACAGAAGGCAGAAAATAAAAAGTGAACATTGTAGGATCACCAAAACTTCCCGCCATGACATGAATTTGATAATGGATACGTTCTACACCAACCTTTTCGGCTCCACAATCCCCGTACCTAAACCTAAAATCGCCGCTGAGGAAATACTACCTGGAATTTTTCTGACGAAAGTTAGAGTTGTGATAGACAGAATGAAAAGGGACAAAGCTCCAGGATCCAATGACATTACTGCCAACTTCCTTAGAGCTGCAAGCCACCATCAACAAGTAGTTCTTGTATACCATATCTTCAGCCTATCTTCAAAAGGAAAAAATCACACACCAGTGGAGTACGTCGCGCACGGTCACCCTCTCCAAGAAAGGAGACCGAAGGGATCTTCCTAACTATCGTCCCATATGCTTGTTGAGTGTAATCTACAAGCTCTTCACGAAGATTATCCTCTCGAGCATGTCAAGGACATTGGATGAGGTACAACCAGTCGAGCAAGCAGGATTTCGACAAGGACTTTGCTGCATGGACCACATCCAAATGGTGTCCAGGGTCACTGAAGTTTGTCGGTAATAACACATGCCCCTAATCCTGACCTTTGTCGACTATGAAAAAGCGTTTGACAATGTCGAAACGAATGTAATCCTACTAGCGCTCGTGGACCAAAGGGTGCACCTGTCATACATAAGAACTCTATTATCTGACTGTCATCGGAACTGCGCTACGAAAATACAGTTTTTCCATCGATCTCTTACCATTCCCACAGGAGAAGGCTTTCGACGGGGCGACACAATATCGCAAAGCTGTTTAGTGCCGCATTGCAGTAGACAACGAAATCACTCGACTGGAATGAGAAAGGAATACGTATTGATGGAATATTCCTATCAAACCTTCGTTTTACCGAATCGGCAGAAGACCCAGTTTATGAAAAATCCATGGTGCGAAGGCGAAAAAATTGAACTTGTTAGCTCACTGATTGCAGAGAACACGTCATACGTATGCCTTGGGTGATCAATGAACATGGAAAACAACATAAAGAAGGATTTAGAAAGAAGAAGGAGAACAACTTTAGCCGCATTCGGACCGCCCAAAGAAGCTACCGACCAACTGAAGGACCCGAAAATCCGGGCTAATCTCTTTGATTCAACGGTCCTTCCAGCGCTCTGTTATGCTGCTGAGACGTGGGCTGATGCTTCAACCGCGCCAAGAATGATCTGCACAACTTACAGAGCGCTTGAACAATGCCTTCTGAAATGTAACCGGCACTCTCAATATCTAGCCAGAATGCTCTGATCTTAGAAATCTTTCATGTCCTCGAAACCCAGAAGAATATAGATCGATAGCGAAACACATATGGGCCGGTCACGTAATGAGAATGGACGACAGATGGACGAAAAAGGTTATAGAGTGGACTCCGAAAGAACGCAGGCTTCCCCAAAGACGCCCACGCATGGATTGGGCAGACGTATTCGTAACCAAAGTTAGTCGGCTGTACTCGAAGCTTGTGTTACAGATCACGGTATGAGATTTGCACGCGCCATCATGATCGAATAAAACCACCACCTTGGGCAACGACTGCGAGAAAAAGAAACGAATGGCAAATGTGCTGGGCTCCCCCACAACTCGTGAAGACGGACCGTCCTAGTATTCAAGCAAGCAAGCAAGTATATTTGAAGCAATTCTTGGCAAGAAACATCCAATTTCCACCAAGAAAGTTAGAATGAGCCGATCGATTTACATGGCAATCACGCCGCAGATTGAAAAATCTTATTGAACCACTTTTAAAAAAAGTGAAATTGGTGCACTCTTTTCTTCTAACCTAATAAATCCAACGAATCAGTTAAACAAAATTTGATTTACACCAGGTTTAAACAAGTTGATCGCCAAAAACTGTCTCATTTTATGCAGAGGAGTTAACAACTAGGCTAGTGATCGTAAGTGTTCAGATTTGTTTGGTCCAGATAGAACAGCCGACTGTCATCTTGTCAGTGTAGACTAAGGTACTGCGCTAAGCACCTAGCAGATATGACAAACTGTGTTAGTCTTAAAGGGTACAAAAACATTTTACACTTATATTACCTGTCATAGTCCAAAATAGTATTAAGTCGATGAGCAATTGTTAGAACAGTACTATCTGAAAATTCTTTGCGAATGGTACGCTGAATAAGGGCGTCTGTGCTCAAATCGACTGCTGCAGTAGCTTCGTCAAGTACAAGAACACGCGTTTTTCGGAGTAGTGCACGAGCTAAGCAGACCAATTGGCGTTGACCAACACTAAATCCAAAGTGTTTATGCGTAAATATAGCCCCATATTAATACTAAGTCAGATAAAGGGTAACTAAAGGATAAAGCTACTACCGTCGATCTATCCCTGATGGATCCGCCATGCATCTGATTCCACTAACCATCGTTAGGGGTAATTGGCCATTATCTATCTGGCCATTACAATGGCTCGCTGTGACCTACCATTGTATCCAGTCAGTGCTGTTATCCTCTCGTAAATGTCTGGTACAAATTTTCCGACCCCGGAGAGATGGAAGGCTTGGTGAGCCTGGGGAGCGGGGGCCGACCCCATCTGTAATGCAGAGCGCCTCCGACCACTGCGCAACACGCACCCTCATACTAAGCCAAAAATCACAAGAAATAGTAAGCGCAAGAATGATCTCGTGGCACGATAATCTTAGCATAGAACAATCAATTTTGTTCTTCAAAATAATTACTTATGATTCTTGGACAATTGTTAATCATTTTAAATATTTACCTTAAGTAGTTGTGCCTCTTCTCCATTTTCTCTCATCTCTCAATAAATGTGCCACAATTTCCGGGAGTCTTAATGCGAGCGCGACAACCACCATCACTAAGTAGTGCAATCAGGGACATCATCGTGGCCCCAATAGAAGATATCCAGCTTGTTTACTCAACAACTTTGCCGTTCGAGATAAAGCCTTGGTGATAAGAAAGAAGCAAATAAAAAGAAACGACTCACGAAACCCAAAAATATTGAATTCTGTAGAGATGGAATAGGAAAACGTGCACCTTATTTAAAAAGATGTACGAATTGTAACGCTTCCTTTCTCAATCGATAAGCTTCACCATGATTCATGTTTTCCCAGGGGTGTGTGTAACGCATTAGTTAGAGGTGCGCTGCAATACACATGGGATCGATCCAGCGTCACAGGCCCACCGAGCCCACCGTCCCTCGGAGTCGACAAACTGGCACCAGACTTGTCTGGGAGGATAGCAGCACTGGCTCGATACATCAGTAGACCACCGCGAGTTATTGTAAAGGCCAGATATGCACTCAATCACCTCCAATGATGCTTAATGAAATCGAATGCATGGCGCATCCCTCAGGGATTGATCAACGCCGAGAACTTTATACTTTATCCTGTATAATCTCTAGAGTTGAAAGGCTAAATTATTCTTAGTCACATTTGGATTTCGGTTAATGCGTGAAAATGAATGAGCAAATAAAGCACCTAATGTTTTCCCCTCCTTCTGTGATTCCATGTTCCAGCTGAGCCGTTTGGGCTAAGGCAAAAGGTTTTAGGTTTGCCATTTCCAACGCGTCCCATATTTCCTCATCAGTGTGACGTCGGAATGGATCCAAATTAAAACTAAAGGAAAATGTATAGATATAATACTTGGAAGCCTACAGTACAAAAAACAGTGAAGCAAACCGTAAGGTGCCTGAGAAAAGGACAGGATCCTGTGGTATTATTGTTATATGGCCACGTAAATCATGCAGTCCAATATCTGTGATATCAATACCATCTATATCAATTCGACCTTCGACAGGCTCAATCATGCGGAACAGTGCAAGCGTTATGGACGACTTTCCTGAAAACAAAACAACTATTCCACACACAGAGTGGAACAGATGCGCAGCACACCTGCTCCGGTCCTTCCAACAATTCCAATCTTTTCGTGTGGACGAATGGTCGCACTTAGTGATTTGATAACAAGCTCAAGTCCAGGACGATATCTAAAACGTGTAAAACATAAGGCCGGTGTTCTCTCGAACTTTTAATTTTTGATCTCTCTTCAAATTTGTTGAGTAAATTACATGAACCTACTGTCTTAAAATTGAGTTGACATAGTGGTTTTTATGACTGCCCACATACAATGCACAGAGGATTTTGTGCACATAGTTTCTTTTAAACATTTGTCATTTTTATTCAAATCCTAAGAGGCAAACAGCTACCTAGTTGAATAATTTTCGATAAGAATCTTGCCCTCGAAAGGCCATCCCGGTGGCGGAGATTTCCCTTGTTCGGACTTCCACTCTGCCTGCAGCAAAGAGCTAAATAAAGGCACCAAAACCAGGTAGAAATAGTCTCTGAAACCTAATTAGACAACGAAACTGAACAAAAGTATCTCCTTTCACACTGGATACACACTGGAACGCCATAATAAACACATAATGCTGCTGATGGAAAGCCACAGAGATTTTAACATCTACCTTAGCACTAAGGTAGGCTTAGAGTGCTTTTGATGTGCAAGTTGAAAACAAACCTCTGTCGACGTATTTGCATACTCCATTATTCTCTCAACAGAGACTACATTGGTTTCTAATTTGGTAATTTGCCTCACCGCGAGGTTAAGCGCTGTGGTGATCTGAAAGAGAACTCACTTCACAAACTCTTATAAGCAGCTTCCTCTTTTCCGAGATCCTTGCCTTCAGAATACATATATAAACATACATTAAGCGCGTATGACACCGACAAACCAATGACACCAGCAGAAGTTGTTTCCCTGGCGATGGCAGCAAAAAGTGCAGCGAAAAGCACGACGCAATTACCAAGCAGTTCTAGGCGGACTGACATCCAGCGATTCGCCACGTATCCAAAATAGCGACACTGCAAATCACTGCCAGCTATTCGCTTAACACCTTCAAGTCTCAGTAGACATAATGTTACACAACTAACTGCCGTATGCTTTCATTACAAAGAGCAAAAATGCAACCATTTTCTTTCCCTACAAGTGACATCAGCACAAATCCAATCCCAAAGAGGAATAAGTTGCAGCGAAACTTTATAAAACCCACTCATTAATGTAGCTTGGTAGACGAAACTTCGTAATATCAAACCTGCACATGAGTGTCAACCTTTTCCTCCAATGCCTTCGAGAATCGTTCTACGAGCCGGTAAGATCGTATTGTAGACGCGCCCTAGAACACAAGACAAGAGTTATGTAAGCACTTTCAAAAACTAGATATTGTTTAGACAATCACCTGTATACTTTCACTAAGGTGACTGTAAATCGGGGAACGGGAGATTGATTCCAACCTCTTTAGTTGTCGGGAAGTGGCGATGTAATACCTCTAGAAAAGGCTGCTGTAAAACCTAGGGATAAGCAGTGGGCGTTATGAAATCTACCATTATCACGAGGTACAAAAGGGCCAAAGGAATGATGGCAACGCCAAAAACTGGTGTAGATATCATGACAATGACCAACGTCGAAACCACTTGTAGCATGCACTGCATGAAGAATTGAACATTCAACGGAAGTAGGAGATCTATTGTCTCAATATCCTAAGATATTTAAATTTACACACCTAGCTGTCCTTCTAAAGAAAAGTGCAAAAAATTATTTCACTACAGAAAGCCAATCTCGGTGGAAAAACCAGATATATATATACATATCCCCAGCTTTCAAAACAGAGTTATCTCCCCATGCCATTAGCACACCAATGCCTTCTGACTGGTTTCCACATTGCTTCATCAAGTTCCATTATTGCAAAGACTGTTCAATGATCCAATATAGTGTGTGGCATGGAGACGCTTCGTGTGCAAAACTTACTGCTAGTTTCATAAAACATGGTAAAGTATTACTAAATAAGATAAGTCTACTTTGCCAATACGATTAAGAATTCTTCCAAACGGTGTCATGTCAAAAAAAGACATCGGTGCACGGAATATCGAATGCACTAATGGACTATGAAGATTTCTTGACGCCGAAACCGCTCCATAAAGTAGTGATACAATCCCAACAAACAGCAAGAGCACTGGAAGTAGAAGCTTTACGAGACAAGCATTCTGCAGAGTTTAGACAGAAAACAAACAAACCTTCGCTAAACCCAAGTAATGCATAAACACCAAGACGCATGCCAATAGAATGACGCCGTTCGGTGTCGTTAGTTATGCGAGTGTTATAATCAGACCTGAAAACATGGTTCAGTCAACCTTCTGTATCAAATAAACGTATACAAAGGGACGTAACATAACATATCGACTGCTTAGCACAGTTACTAAGTTGGCACATATCAGGCTACACTTAGCATAAAGAAAAAAGAAAGATTAATGATAGACTTCGTTAGAATTCAGAAACCTCACCAATTAGTCAACCACAAATTCCTGGCCATTGAAACAACAGTACTGAAACTCATGCCCGAAATAAATAAAACGGAGAGTAGAAGACCCATCGCACCAAAGTAATTTAAGTATGTGTCAAACTTAATCTGGAAAGAACGAGAACACAAGGATAGAGTACAACACGATGGCATTAATCCTATGAGGGAGGACGAGAGAAATTGCTGCTCTCTCGTACACTTTTGTAAATTTGTTAATGTTGAGTGAGTTATTGATCCATACTTGGATACTTCGATACTTGCATGGTCCGTCCCCACTGGTTGCGGGGGCCATAGCGTATTCTACATTTTCTCGGAGTTTTGTTGGTCTAGCCATAGTGGTTCCTTGAAGTCCCGAGGTCAACCTGGCCAAAGTCTGCCCCATGTCGCCGCCCTTGTGGATCAGAGGGAGATTTGCCACCATGACATTGGTTTGAGAACAGGACGGTGATGGATCCTAGTATTGGTCTACTCTTAGCTAGGCTTCCTGATGGAAACGCCGGACTCCTCAGCTTGGGAGACCCTGCCGGTGGGATGAATCCCCCGATGTACATGGCAGCCGGACACCCAGAAACACCTACCAGCCACGATGAGGCTGGAAACCGCTGGGAGATGTCGATTCATAAGGAATAACAAAAAACGGTTTCCAAGTTGATGATGGTAGGCCGTAAACAATGGATAGATTTCACAATGTTTAACTTTTCACTTACTGGCTATAGTTTTTTTTCCACGGCAAGGTATTATAAGAAAAACAACCACAGTGATGCTGAGATCTTCGCAGAACTCGGAACCTCAAACCAGTTTCTAATCCGTGACTGTTGCTCCCGACGACTCACGTGTTTAGGGTAGAAAAACTGGATGAGAGAAAGGCAAAGCAATGTCCTCGACGGTGCAGTGGGTAACACATGAGCCTCCGGGTAATCGCCTGGTCGAAACTGATCTGGAGTTCCAAGTTTTTCAATAATACACAGATTTAATTTCACACTCCCAAAATCACGACTTTGCTCGAATTCACAATGATTGGTGAACCGCAAAAGAAAATCGGCTGAATTTCAGCTTGCTTTCAAGCCAAAAACAGTTGACAAGGGCCTCACCTTTCCTGTTTCCACTTTTTCGGCTGTTGTCAGTTGACGAGCGTTCACATCGATGACTGTTGTAGAGCTGTGTTTCACTGCAGATTGTTTTCTTCTACGATGTTTCATAGAGGCAGACGTGCTAAGGTGACGGCGAGCAACTATTCCAGACACTGGGGAAGCATGTGATGTCCCCAGAATCTAAAAAGGAAAATTGTTAGAACGTTACAAGAATGAAGTCAAAGACGTACAAACCGCGTCGATAAAAGGAGATTCGTTGAGGCTGTTTTCGTAATCTGCCATATCGATGTACACTAAAAAAGAACGCATTTGGCGTTAACGAAAATTTAATAACTATAAGTTAGATTTGCACTGTACCACTATTACCTTCGTCTACCTCAGTTTCAACTTCGTGCTCCTCCATCTTTCGTTTTTCTACCTCTTCTACTACACATTCCTCCAAAAGTGCCTCCAGAGCCCCTGATTGCATCAGCTCACTGTATGTTCCTTCACGATCGATTCTTCCATCTAAAATACGACCAGGCAACTTCATTTCTAAGACTAAAAATTCGCGAATAAAAGGTGCCAAATCATAAAGCACTTTCGGTAATGAGACAAAGCTAAATCTACTAACGTAGTTAGCGTATGTGGTTGAAAAACCTCAATATGACTTAATACAAGTTCATAAACAAGATTCTTAAAGACCCTTTTTAACAAATTAACATAACTTCAATAAAATTTATACTAATTTTTCAACCAGTTAAACTGAGATACTCGACCATATTTAATATCTATGTACAAAATTATAGAGGCGCTCAATGTAAATATAGAAAGTGGACGCAAAAGTGCAGGAAACCGATCAACGACAAGTGTTTTGCATTTCCAAACGAATCTAATACTCATTAGTCTGGCTTAGAAGTATAAAATGAAGTGGCGACTGAACGCAAGAGCACCACCGTATAACGCCATGCACTTCACTATTTTTGCCTCTATTACTATGCCATCAGTAGATAATATATAGTATAACATAGTACGAAACCTACTTTTCATCAAGTAAATGAAATCAGAGTGTTTTAGGAACGACAACTCATTGGTAACGAGAATCCTTGTCTTATTTCTCAACATTCCATGCGGTCCTATCACAGACGAAAAGAGCTAGAATATTAGTATAATGAGGACCACAACGACGGCCTAAGTACAACGGTGATTATTTTCGCAACTGTAAAATAGGTTTAATGGATGACAAAACATGACAAAACCTTCTACCGAGCACTCAAATGCTAAACTCAACCCACTAACGACACACTTTTAGATCACAGCTTCCAAACAGGCAATGAGTGGCGCACGAAATCTGATTGCAACGTATTCTTCCCCAGATTCTTAGCCCAGTTCATTTATCTAATACTGTATCGTGAGTTTTAATTTCAATCGTTGTCTTTAAAATGAAAATTACCTGTGCTGCAACATGAGAATCCACAGCACTCATTGGATCATCAAGGAGGTAGACGTCGTGATTCTGATAAACAGCCCGAGCTAAGGAAATACGAGCTTTTTGCCCGCCAGAAAGGTTGATTCCCTGGGACAGAACTGTACAAGTATTATGGAAACAAGTCACTGTGGACGCACTAATCACCTTTTCACCTATTTCTGTCATATCGCCAAAGGGAAGAGTGGATAGGTCTAGGAAAAGCGCACAAGCATCGAGTACACGATTGTAGAAATATTCGTCAAATCTGGAATCAAAAATAAAGTAATCAAATCATTAAAATCGAATGATGCGATTTATAAACTGAAATCTCACTTTTTTCCAAAAGTGATATTCTGTCGTACAGTTTGATTCTGCATCCAAGGTTGTTGTGGAACGTATGACACACGTCCTCTCAGACCAATATATCCATGAAGCTTATCCATTTCACCTAAACAGAGGACAACGCTCACTGAGCCGTTATTGTCTTGTTCTTCATTTCTGTCCCACGAAATCCCACTATTTCAGGAATCCCAAGGCAGGAATTAATAATGCACTAGGTAATAGATGTATAAGTATATACGAGCCAATAAAATAACGTGAAATAGTAAACATCTAATAGACAAGTCTCCAAATATGATTCACCTAATAGAGCTTGAAGGAAAGAACTCTTCCCTTGTCCGACTCGACCCACAATACACACGAGCTGACCCTTTTGTACATTAAAGCTCAGATTATGTACTGTCGGTTCACTTTGAACTTTATCCCACGTGAGTGTGGCGTTTGAAACCTTGACGACTTCGCCATCTTAAAGAATGATCAAAAAGAGTACTTTGACAGTTAAGATAGTTTAACAATCAATTAATAATTAAACAGTTACTGTCTGTTGCATTTGTATCAACACAGTCAAGTGCGAGCTCATCCGAAAGAAGAAAATCGGTAAGACGGCGGTTTGACACAATTATCTAAGACAAAAAATGATAAGTGCAAATGATGACGTCAGGCAGAATTTTCTTCGAAAGAAATAAATAGATTAAAGATAAAGTCTGTAGAATGCATTAAGGACACGGCTTCCGCCGTTTTGTTGGAGTTACTGTGGTAACTGCCCGACTGATCGAAATGTTACCCTCTTCTTTTCCTACGAACATAAAAAATATGTTTGAAGATTGATTCTTGCACATTTCGAATAAAAAGATATATTCATTATTTAATCATATCAAGATTAAATGAAAGTCAATATGTACAAAAAAATAAGTCTGGATAAAAGTCTGCAAGAACTTTTTTCAACCTAAGTTTGTCTACTTACTCATTACTTGAGTGAAGAAATCGTTATCTCACTTGAACGGTTTGGGTAATAATCTCCGCAATCTGAGACATAGGAGTACGCAACTGATTGAACAAAGTCAAGGAAACGAATGCGATTTCTGGAGTTAAAACGTTTGCCGGATCCAGTAGAAGGAATGTTGTGAACGTGAATAAAGCCACCTGAATAAGGAATGCAAAGGATTTTGAATTTCCCTAAACTTCGTTCTATAATCATGTATGACGTTACAGTACCAAGAACGGCGATGCCGAATTGAACATGTCGGAAAGAGTTCGAAGAAAAGCCGCTCTTCGAATGAGAGCGAGTTCTTTCTCTCGCAAATCCGTGATGACGTGCTCCATTGCCGGCTCCCATGCATACAGCTTGATAACCTGCAAAAGCTTATTTTACTTCATGTTACCCTCCCATATTACCATAAATCTTCCTGAACACTTAGGATAAGCATAAAGAATAAAGCTCTCTGTGTTGATCTATTCCCGAGGGATGCGCCATGCATTCGACTTCATTAAGCATTGTTTGGGGTGACTGAATACACGTCTGGCCTTTACAATTTACTCGCGGTGGCCTACCGATGTATCGGGCCAGTGCTCCTATCCTCTTAGACAAGTCTGGTACCAATTTCCCGACCCCGAAGGAATGGTGGGCCTGCTAGGCCTGAAGAGCGATGGTCGATCCCATGTGTTCCCATTGCATGACGCCTCTGACCACTGCTCTACATGCACCCCAGTTTCCTTGTATTCCTAAACGTCTATGCCTTTTAATTCTTTGCTGATTAATTCAACACAAAAAGCCTGCTGTGCTTGCAAAATCCATGAACTTGCTAGTAACACCAACCTTAATTCCATTCAATGCCTCATTGACCATTTTTGTTCTCTCGTCTTTATAACGCATTTGCTGCACCTAAAAAATCTTATGAATTTTATTCAGAGATGACATATTTGTTGAGCAAAAATACCCAGCAATTCATCGAAACTAATAAATAATTTCCAATGGTTAGAACATAGAAATCTACTGAAAGAATGTTTGACGTACCAGCCAATGGCAGCTCTATCCAACTCAACAAAAAAATCGAAAAGATAGATCGTTCAAAAAATGACCTGACATTTCCTAATGAGCATCGTTATGAGGAAGTTGATAGGGAAAAGCATGAGCATCACGGCTACTCCGCTCAGAACTGGCAATCCAATTTGATGAAAAAGAAAGAATAACGCGAGAACGATCTGAAAAAATTTTTGCTTGCGCTGATATCCCAAAACTCATAGATCGGTTACTCCACAAGAAACAAGAAGAATACAACACACTTGAAGAGGATTGCTCCAGTACTGCATAGTATTTGGAGATATTTGTTGGAAGCGGTCAACATCAATAGACATCAGATTCACTATTTCGCCCACAGTCTTTGTTCTGCGAGCCGTATTGGAGAGACGAAGAGTCTGAAAAGGAAATAAGGTGAGAGAATTTGCAAAATAGATTGACATTGGCTTTCGCAACATTGATCTTTTACCTTCCTATACACAGCTGATGTGAGGCATGTTTGCACCCGAGTGCCTACTCTGTACATGAGATAGTAGTAGTGAGACTGCATTAAGGACGACAACTCCGATGTGCTAAACATAGTTAACGCGAGCAAAATTCCATGCCACAATGGTCTTTGAGAGTCCTCAGTGAATCGGATCAAGGACCTTGACGAAAAAAGCGAATTAGCTCAGAAATGATTAGCATATGTGGCAAAGAAATGCATGTGTTGTAAACAGACCTTAACAAGAGAGGATTACAAAACTGGAGGAGATCTGAGAGAGCTTTGGTAGACATCGCAATGATGATATCCCACTTAAAGAGTGAGAATAGGCAACAAATGATTGATGGACGTCGTATATTGGGCATAGCGCCTTGGAGTGGTTCATTTTCGCTCTAAATTGGAGGTTAACATTATTGGAGAACTCCCATCGTACGACAGTACTCGTGAACACCAACGTAGTCCTGTAGACCCTGGACGTTTAGTAGCAAAGCTGTTTGCGAATCGGTAGTAGACGTTTGAGATCCAGAGTTTGATGTTCGAATACGAGAACTAGCAACGGAACATCGAAACTTGTACTCTGAACGCCTAGGATTGATAAAGAAAATACGATAAGATTAGGAAATACGATGGAAGAAATCACAAGTGCGCCCGATTTCCTTCGATCACGCACCAGGCACTTTTTTCTCCCACAATTGAGTCCATTTGGGCACCAATACAGCAGAACAGTCATCGTCGTTCAACGCGTACAAGTTTTTAGGCTGAAAGTTCGATCTGTATTGAAATTTATGTAACATCTTATTGTAGTCGAGCGCGCCTAACTTCTCAAATTTGACATCAGTAAGAATGAACAGTGTGAAACATCGAATAAAATGGTATCAGAAACGAATGAAATAAAACTAAGCCTAGAATTGCAAAAGAAGAACCAAGAATCAAGTACCGACACTGAAGAGCATTCTAGCAGCTAACCACTACTTTAAGCTGCTATTGTAAAGTTCACCTGTTAAACAGCAGAATGAAGTTCTACTTTTATAGGCATTCTTAAAGGTAGTTCATAACCAAGCCTCTTTTCTCTCGTATTACCACCATTACCTTCTTCAGACAGACGAGTATTTCACTCGAATCATTACCGTTCTGTAGAAGCGATGCGATGAAAAGTCAGTCACAAAAATGTTCAGCAACGATCACCACTAAGCTTATCAGTAAACTAAGGTAGTGATTACTTATCTCAATGTTGTATTTAAGGTGCTACTAAAAATATCCCACTTTTAAATCTATAGTAAAGGGAAAGCACAAAATACCACTATGGTAAAATGACAAAAAGGTATGTGGAAGTGGTAGGAAAATAGCAGCTTAAAAGACAGATAAAAAAGGGTTGGATGCAAAAATGACAATGAGAACAGTTTGAAAAATGATTTGACGACAGCAAGAAATGTACAAAACAACACTTATTCACAATTGCTAGTATATCAATATGATTCAGTCCTCAAAAACAGCTCTGAAGTAACTGCAATCCACTGGAACAGCAGAACGAACCAGCATTACACTATTTAAAAATTGGGAAATTAAGCAATATTTCCACTCACCAACAATAAAGGAATGATGCGAGTAAATAACAAAAAAGAGTCTTTCTATCTATATAGGAGTGATTTTTCTGAATAATAACAAGATGCGTAATTTCTTTGCTTAAAACTAAAAATTGAATTTACCGTCGAGACAACTAAATGAGGTTAGAATACATAGGATATTCGACCATTAATGTTGAGAAACTGTGTGAAATTGCTAGCCACTATCATAAACTGCAACTGCCAACCTCTATTGGTTTTTGGATACCCTTTCTGCAAACATCGTTGAACCACCACATTGTTAAGCGATTAATAAACGATGAGAACATTTCCGGAGAAGGAACCTGTACATCGTTTGAAAACTTAATCCATGTTAAAAACAGAGAAAATAAATGTCTGAAGAGTATGGAAAAAACCTACTCCCTTATTGTTCAAAATTTTGTAAGAGACTGGAGGAGAATCAGCAAAGCAATGAAGAATGAGCTGAATGAAGCACACTGGCCACCAAACCAAATGTGCTGCTCGTCGAAACGAGTCGGTGGTACGGTGTTTCTGTAAAAGTTGTGGTAAAAAGCCAAATTTTGCAATTTACCACTATAGAAACTACCTGTAGATCATATTCGTAATACAGCCAGTATAGCATTTCAGGTATACCGCAAACGGTGAAGAGTAACCATGACAGAAACAAACCAGCAGACGTCAGTTTCCCACAACGACGGAACGCGAGTATAAAAATCGCGTGCAGGATCTGAAACCACAATCAGTACCCATTCGACGCTCTAAATGTCGGTTCCAGTTCCACCTCTACTCTATTCTGCACATTTAATCACGATTCGAAAGCTCTACCTTACGGAACTCTACGGAACTGAAGAGTAATGGTCATTTTGAGATATATTTTATAAAACAACAACGAATTAACGGGAGAAAGCCGTTTTTTTGAAAGAATTTGCAATAGCTCCTCAGTTTTCCTCCTATAAACTTATAACCGAAACTTAAACCCCTATGAACTTTATTTTGAATAAAAAGAAGAAACGAATAAGACTTAAAGGTATTTGCCAACAAGAAATCTAGACCTCGCAGAAGTCCTTCTTCTTACTTTCATGAAGGCTCGTATTTCGAACAATTAAGTGGCTATGAAAGAGAGATTTAATCCAGAAAGACACTATTGTGTCCCCAGTGATCGCCGATGCCACACACAAGTTTGAAGCGTTATGAGTCGTTCCCAACTTTGAAAGCCTCATCTTCTAAGCAAGTCTAGCTCTAAAAGGATATTGTAGAATTATATACACCATTATAGCGAAAGAGCAGAGCCTCCTCTACGAGTTCGTTAAGTTTTCATGTTCTCACATACTACAATCTTTGAAACATTAGCATCGTTCATTGCTTTCTCGGATTTTCTGCACTCTAGAAAACACCCACCATTGCTACGAAAAGCATCAGGGGATAGACGAACTCCACAGCAGGCGGAACACCATTAGACACTGCTTCGGTGAAAGGAAGAGTGAACAAAATACAGGAGTCAATAACTAGTACAGCAACCAATACCTACAAAAGAACGTAGTTGTTATGAATACCATAAGGCTGTCCTACAAATTTGTTCTACAGTGACTTCGCTGCCTATTAATTAAGCTCCATTCATTCCCAGATGGTGAACATTGTTGAATTGAGAACTTCAACTTCTCCTACGAACCTCTAAATGGATTATAGAAAGAGAATGCAATCTTAAGAACAATCGCATTATCTGCTCGGAAACCCTTTTCTGGCCGATGCTTTGATGATAGCTCGAATAGCTACAGTTGCTTTATTTCAAAGATTGAACTTCCATAGTAAAGCGATGAGATTTCTATTTCAACAAGCTCGAAATCAGTATAAATGAAAGGTTAGAATGGGTACTACATGGCAAAAAATAAGTTATGGGAAGGCATACAATTCAGTAGTGTGTGGAACAATTATTTGTTACAAAATCTTTTAGTAAACCATTGATCAGACTTACATAAGGATATAATCGATGTTAACAAAACAATTTTTCTAAGAAAGGGCCAGGCTTTCATGCAAAGTGTATGTCAAGCACTTCACACTCAAACAAATTTATTCCACAAGGTGCAGTTCTTGAAATTTATACTATTTACATATGATATGCCATCTCTACAGTCCGTTGTATTAACAACATACATAAAGGTTAAAAAAGGATAAAGCTCTCGGCGTTGATCAATCCCTGAGGGATGCGCCATGCCTTCGACTTCATTCAGCATCGTTTAGAGGTGAATGAATGCATATCTGGCTTTTACAATGACTCGAGGTGGCCTACCGATGCATCGAGCCAGTGCTGCTATCCTCCAAGACAAGCCTGGTAGCGATTTGCCGACTCCGTAGGGATGGAAAGCTTGGTGGGCCATGGCCGCGGGAATCGATTCCACGTGTGTATTGCAGGGCTCCTCCCACCAATGCGCCACACGCGCCCTTCACTTGGCTAAGATTCTTAAATGAGAAGCACCAAAGGTTTCCCATTTTCCTCAGTGTTTTGAATGTCTTCTTCTTCTTCTTCACATTCGATGAGGAGCATGTAGATGACGGAATCGAATTAGTAGTTCAACTATGAAGAAGCGAAACGTATGATACCAACTTGTTAGATTCTATAGAGGACGGAAACAGCATGGCACCTGTTTTCCTACATTCAAAACAAGCTTCCCATATATGTAGTTATCGATCTGCTACCCTAATTGAATCTTGGAAAACATCGCTGGGATACTGTAGGCATCACGGCAACATCCATCTTTTACTCTATCAGATCAACATTATAGTGCACTGATTCTGCTATACATTTATAGTCATCGGCTTCTCTTCTTGGCAAGTGCAAAACATATAAAAGTAATGCAAAAATATAGTCAATATGTGTAACGAAACAACCACCGAAGGTCTACAGCACTGTGGCTCGTTGTGGACGAGTTTGCCTCATCACACACGGTATTTGAAAATATTCCAAAAACTATATACTATTATAAAAAAAACACAAAGGGTGGGTAGAATAAAAATTAGAAACGAATAAGAAGGTGCATAAAAAAACCAAACTATAGAGCGAAGAAAGGAAAACTAAGAGTTTGTTGATGAAAAACAACGGACTGTTTGAATCATATACGACTCCTAAAAGGCGCATTAGGACTGAATCTATGCAGTACCCAATGAAATTAAGCGTGCTAGCGTATGTGTCAAAAACCACTTATACGTTCATTAAGACTATTATATTAGGGGACATTGTTGTCACTAATGTAATGTTAGTTTCCGAACCATATCAATTATTTCAAACATGCAGAAATGTCACAGAAATGTTACAGCTTTTAATCATGTGATAACAAATTAGTCATTGGAAGTTCAATTTGAAACGAGGACTGGTACAAAAGCGTTCGTAACCGTACAGCACATGTATCGCACTTCACACTGCGATGTACATCTGTACAACTTAATTTATTCTCACCTTTCCATTAACCGACTGCACGGCATCTATTTCTGGGTGCACACCTCATTACAGGAAGAATATTCGCTCAGGAACGATTTCCTCAGTAACTACAACTCAGTCGACCTTCATGCTAATAATACATGCGAATTTCCCTGCTACTACATGACGGAGGGCGACCACAATTATCAGTAATATGTTGCTGAGCAGGAAAAGGCTTTCCAGACCTTAGGACAAGCATAAGGAGACATGCGTTTAACGCAGTTTATATAACAAAGTTATAAAAGAGGCAAACAGTCAAACCATTCTGTGAGTTTCAAAAGGATAGTAATATAGAAGGTTATACAGTTTTTGTTAAACCGGAGACGTGAACAGATCAACATTTCCAGAATTCCTTCATAACCGGGCACGCCACCGGATATGGCAACTACTAAGCAGAGGACACGCTACCAAGCACGGCAACTTTGCTTGGAGAGCTGACCTGGTGGCTTTCCTCATTCACTTCAATTCAAGAGGACCCGTTGTCGTCTACTCTGCACACACCACCATCCGGTTACCATCATGAGTTGACGCTCATTGGCAGCGTTGTTGAAATCTTGGTACTTGTTGTTTCTGTTCATACCGTGTTTGTAGAACAACTCATTATAGCTCCACAGTGTACCTACCATACGTATCGCTATTTGGTGATACCACTTGTTGATACCCTACCACCCAACGCTGATGGATTAGACACCGTAATTTCGTTTCTGTTGATTATCGTAACCTAGCTTATCGAAACATACAAACGTTGCTTGATGATGCCTTTAAAAAACATCACCTTGAATCTTTTTAAAAACTTTCTGGTGATTTCATAGCAGTTGTTATCTTCGTGCTCAGCAACAAACTGAGTGCCAGTGTCAGCATCTAACCCTGATTTATTTCCCTTTGTTATGATAGAGAATAGTAACATAGTTAACAAATTGGTTGCCACCATAGATCCTTCGTAGCTTCTACAAATCATTTCAAAAGTAAGAGATGATACACTGAAAGTCATCGTTTATAGTAGTAACTACACATGCAATGGTCAGGATAAAACGATATTTGATTTCGAAGACTTGAAAGTCATTACCAGTTTGGCGATGATTTTCCTCGTCCAAGGAAGAGGCGAAAATCGGCGGTAAGACATTTGTGCGGTCAATATAGGTGAAATGCAATACAAAAAGATGCATGGAATCCATACCAACGTCGTATGCTGGAAACACCTCGACAAACTCGGAAGCTTTTTCTGCCATATGGACGAGTTCTAAATAAGTTTCTTTAAAACTCAATAATCTGTGTGTCATGGATACATCTGCACTTTACTAGTTATCACACTCCTTCAAAGGAAGCACAAACGTTAAAAGGAAAGTATCAGAACTTTAGCAGATTATCGGCAATACTCTGAAGAATTCTACATTCTACACATGAAGTAGAAAAATAAACTATGTTGGTCAGCAAACGTTTTCTTGCTTCACAGTTAATGGCTAGTATAGTAGCAGTAGAACAAATTACCCACTTTGCCCAAAAACAAGAACAAGTTCAGCACTGATCCTTAAAATGTTCAGTTTTTTCGGTAAGAAATCAGTGCTTACCCAGAACTCTTCTCCGCAAAAGTTATCGAGGCCTGTGAGTATCCGATTAGAATTACTTGCCTCCATTTCAGTAGATTAATGAATACGAATTAGGTTGTCAGTGGATAATTACTGAGTGGCTATCATAGATGTAGCAAGACTCGAGTACTATCTCTGGTGTTATTCTAAAAAAGATCATTCTATGGAGTAGACATCAAATTGCTCCCACTGTAATCCTGTACGGCTTACGGCGAAATAAAATTAAATGAATGTCAATTTGATTGAAAAGAAAAAGAAAAGGTATAGAAGCGATGAAATCGTTCGATTAGAGGAATGGCAATCTGGCAATGTTACGCCTGGGATGCCAAAAACAATCGAATATCGAGATCGAAAACTGATAGATCAACTATTCGGAGGGGGTAGCGTACGACTCTCCAACGAAAGTTTCTTAGTTTTTTAAGCTGGACTTAATTAAAGCGGGGCATAAGACGAGAACGTCAGGAAGAATTTCAACGAGATACCGACGATATTACACAAAAAGAGCGGCGCCACAGAGAGAGACAGTTAACTTACTTATCTGCCAAAATGGACCACCAAGATAAGGATGACGGTGAGAAGAGCACAAAGCAATTCTGTGACTGGAACTCTCATCAACTAAAGATGTAGAACCGTGCTTGGATTCCTCACTGCTACAAATCCTGGTGTTATAAAAAGTACACTTATACGCAACTATTCCATACTTCACAAAATCGAAGACAGTAGATCATTCGACTACCGGCCAATCCGCCAAGTGAGTCGAATTCCTCCAATGTAGCGATTTTTGGTGCTGCTTCGACTCCTTTAATATAATATCAAGATTACTTGTGACATGAAACACAATTATTTCACGATATTTCGCATCGTCGTCAAAAAGCTGAGTACAAATTGCTAATTTCCCATTTCTATGTACTCTTGCTCTTTGGCGTATGGTTGTCTCTTTCACATGAGAAGGTGGGGCCTTTGTTGTCATAAATTCCAGTTTGCCTTATCTGGCAGTCATTGCTTCGAGTAACGCTCTATTTAGTGCGAAAAAGATCAGTTACTTTGTAATTGTTCCCAATGTCGTAAGAGGTCAAGATAGGAGGTCCGTGTTGGATTGTTCGAAGATAGTGAGTTTATCGCTGCGGTCGATGATGTCAAATACAAATAGTGTTTAAGCAACTGATAACACAGTCTCGTATTCAATACGTGTTATTGAATGCCATAGACATAGCCTTCTATTTCTTTAATCACTTCCCATCCTCTTGTAGCTCGTCCCATTATCTGTAGTGGTTCATCTAAAACATAAAATCTATCATGTCGCATAACTTGTATAAAGTATTCTAAATTTCTTTCAGTTTAGCTCCAGATGTCAGGATTGGAGAAAAAGCAATATTCATTTAAAATCCTCGTGATTGGTGATCCTGGAACAGGAAAGACGTCCATTATCAGGAGATTCGTTCACGACGTCTTCACCACGAATTATAAGGCAACGGTACGCAATGCGCTTCATCAGTTCGAAGATTATCGCGGATCTTTAAAATGTTCTCTTTTTAGATAGGTGTGGATTTCGCAATGAAGAGAATGGTGCTAGATGAGAACATTCAAATCTATCTCCAACTGTGGGACATCTCAGGTTTCCTTGGAATTCTTTTCTTTTGCTGATTTCATAGTTGTTTGATTCTCCTGCAACCATCTTTCTCTCTCTGACAAAGAGATTTGAAACCACAACTACTAGTTTAAAGTGGCAAACTGCTCCTATTCTTAAAAAAGAAGAAGAGGACGAATAACGCTTTTCCCTTTCCCATGCTCCCCTTCTCGACAGCATCGCTTAGGCAACCAGAGTGATGTACTGTAGTGTCCTACTAAGTCACTAATGTGATGCAATAACTAAATCATCTGAAAAGTAAGTATTCTCGGAATATTGTCGTACCAACTTGATAAGTGTTCAAGAATGTCTACTTGAAATCCGAACTAGCTAATATGCCAACGTCACCACTTGCTTAGAAGACTATGTCCGGTTATGTCTTGTCACAGATCTCGTGTTTAACACTACATTAATCACTTCAGTTCCCACTACCAAGTCTGATTACAAAGAGCTTGATTATTCGACTCCTCTTTGTAACTCCTCTTTCGTAGTAAACCTTATCGATGACTAGTCCAATCAGTTTTTTATGTTATCACTAGGTGTAGTAACTTTGTATTCCCGATATGCTTTATTTTCTTAATTTCAGAAAGTTTTTGAATTAGCTTGATCAACTAATCTTATGAAATGGCTAACAATGAGTCTTTTACTGTAACAACATCTGTACAGTCCAGCGCAGTAGTGGAGGAAGCCCAGTAAATGCGATTACTTCTCATCTCTTCACAAACTAAGACATCTGTATTTCTACGAAAATTCTTATTTGGTTGGGCGATTTTTAGTCATAAATAGATGAAGCTAGCAAAATCACATATGATTCACTGGTGATGCAATCGCAACAAGTTAAAACCTAACAGGAACTGCGAAGAATTGTTTCCTTAAGAATTCAACAGTGCAGTAGTGCAGCCAGCGTACGCTGCTGACGAGTTGTTCAGTTCATTGATAAAAATCTTAAGATTTTTGATGAACACAACTTAATGGTGATATGGTGTGCTAATAATGGAAAATGTAACTGCGGATATCGCATGGGAAAGATCCTACTCCACTAGAAAGGAATAGGCACAACTTGGGAAGCTGAGCAAACCGAGCAAATAAATAGGCTAGTTTCTTCCATAGTGAAATACCACAGTGCAACAACGATAGCTGAATTGGACAACCATCACAATCGTTAGCTATTTCGTGAACCTCTATTGGCTTTGCCGTATTTCCTTGTTGGATTTGTTTGATGAGAACTTGGCGGATATAAGTAAACCATTTCTTTGCTAGCTTTCCTGTATTTTTAGTATGCTGTTTTCGTATCTGTTAAATATTATGTTATACACTAGAATTTTAGCTCAGTGCGTAGCCAAAAACATTTCTATTAAGCTTTCGATAGGTAGCGAATCAACGATAATTACCATGTTTTTAGCATTTTATAAAGGTAAGAGTGAAGTAGTAGACAATATTCAACATCATACAACACGATATGGCTGGTAGTGGTCGGTGAATATGTGGGCGATTTGCGTTTGCGATGAGCTCGACTGGAACGTGCGTTGTGGAGAAGTTGGTGATTTGGACAGCGTGTATCCGTAGAATCTGAAGACAGATCGCTGGCAAGAAGGGTCGGAAATCGCCTTGGAGACATTTTTTTAAAAAATAGATATCATACTTTGCTAGAGAAACTTTCAGTTTACTTTAATTCCCAGCCACCTTTACGGTATTCTCAGTTCCCCAAAAAAATTGACAGCATTGTGGCAACTCTTGGACTGTGTGAACAAATTTACGAATAATAAACTGAACAATCTTTCATTCAGCCTATTCGTTTCACCGTTAAATGACGTTTACTACTCTCTTAACATATTCGCGACCGTACTGGCTTGTAGACGCCATTGTGTAGGACGAAATTACGCTTGTTCAATTCAATTGCCCTGGAGTTCAATACTAGTCTTGGTGGGGAATGGAGAAAAGTGGAAATGATAAAATATATTTCGTTGACTCCGGAAAATCGGAATTCCACTTTGGGAGGACAAAAATTGCACCTTGTTTGTAAACTAGACATTGTGCATTGTTTTCAAGGCATACTCATCCGGCTGTTTCATTTGATCCAAGCAGCTTTTTGATATACTGCCCTATTCAATCGATAACTTATTCAACGCATACGTTGTGACAGCAGTGGTTCGTGAAAGCTGTTCTCTACGCTTAATAACTTACAAAAAACCGTTTTGCTTTCGGACAAGCTTAAACCACGAAGAATTTTAGCAGAAGGTATTTTGTTTAACAAGATACAATAGTACGTACAAAAGGTGATAAAGCTGCTACGATCGTGTTTAGATTTGAAAAGAAAATTTCTGAAATAGGTCACTAATTTTTGTTCTTCAAAGATGAAATAACTTTAAAAATATTGGTATCTTCGAGACAGAGTTAAATGTCATCTATAATTAAGTTAAACTCTCAACTCCTCAAGTGCTGTAGTTATCAAAAAATTGTCGGCCATTGTCAAAAACCCACTGTCGTCACTGGGTTACATGCTCTAGGCTTTCGCGCAGTATATAAATGACGACTAATAAATTATTTATATAGTATAAGATATAAGACGTCCTACAGAATGTCACTGCTTACCCGGATTCTACTTGGTATGGCTGCCCATAAAAGCGTTTCGACGTGTGGTAATAGAAAGGATTCTCGTCTGCCGACCAGTAAACCGTCTGCTCTTCCATTTGTTGTATGGCGGCCTAAAGTTGTATGTCAGCAAAGCCTCTAAACTCTATTTCGAGTTCGACCAATAAGGACAATTGGGTCTGCAATGCAAAAGACAGAATGTCCGACGCCATACTTATACAAACAGAGCTCAAAGACTGAGCTCTTATCAGGCGATCGCTACGATAGGCTCAGTGAGACTAATTGTCGGATTGTGGCAGTGCTGCACTCCGTAACTCACGTTGTTCAGTGTGCCACTCACGGGGCGTTGTCCGTTAGCGATTCCCAATGAATTGCCTAACTGCTGTACCGCTGCTCCTCCCAAGAATCGTTGTGCTACTGTCCCTTCCCGCTGCGGGACAATTATTGTTGCACCGTCAGATGCTGTTGAGCGATATTGGAGTGAATAAGATGACCTTAACAATCAAACACTTCACTATTTACTAGTGTTGGAACACGTCATGATAGGATATAGTACCAGATGCTGTACACTGTCCCAGTCAACATCATAATTGCACAGGCTAATGTGGCCCCAGAGCTTAAGATGAGCGCAGTATCGTATAGAGTGATTTGTAAAGGAGTTAGCGCCAAACCTGCGTAGTACAATCGACCTTGCTAAAATAAATACGTAGTTACTTAAAAGACCAACCTTATACAAACTTTAGCACTAATAATTAATAAACATAGCTTTTACGAACTGTCGTTGTCGACGTGACGTGAGGTTGCCATCAGCTTTTCTGTTGTTGTAATTCTGTGGCTGACGTTCCATATAACTCGGTGAATTATCTATGGTGCTAATAAAGCCCTATTATATAAATGAATTCCACTTTAGTGATGCTGATATATTTACAAAATACCGAACCGCAGGTGCTTGCGGTGGGGAACGAACGCGCTATTGTCCTTTCCGGGGAGTAACGCGTTCACCACTACACCATGCGGGTCTTTCGTTTCGCCTGTCTCTCAGCTAGTTCTATCGATCAATGACATCAGCAATCACCCACCAGCGGGATTGATCTGGGAGCCCAAATCGGCAATGAACCCAGTTAAGCTGAGGCTGTAGTTATAATTTAGCTTATTATTTACTGCCTATTCTTTTTAAGGGCAGGGTATGTTGCGAAAAATAACTTCAATGATGCTGAGATGTTATCTGTCAGCTAGTTCCACTTTGTTTAAAAACTATTCACTGTTTTGTAAGCTGTGGAACCACCCATGTGTTGCTCACGTGGGACGATAAGTAAGACCCACCCAGATCAAGAAATCAACACGAGGAATGGCTCCAGGTCACGCGTGAGGCATTTGCCTTTCCGGTTCATATTTCGACTTTTGAAGTATATCAAAAACGCTCATGATTTTTGCCCTTTGATGTTTTTGTGCTGTTGAAGAGTTTTGAATAGATTTCAAAGATTTGAAAATGAACCAGAAGGGCAAATGTCTCACTATCACATATGGTGCCTTTCCTCCAATTGATTTTTTAATCTGATGGGGTTTCACACGTGAAGAACACATGGGTGATCTCACGTTTCACAAGACGATAGTAGTTCTTGAACAAAATGGTTTTCATTGGTATAATAGATTTTCAATAGGGCTCTAGATAAATCGCTACTTTAAATGGATAGAGTTACATAAAATACGTGCAAGCTCTGAGCAAGGCAATTTCGCCGAAACATCAGCCATGGAATCACAACAACAACCTTGAGTGAGCTCAACAACGGTAGTTCGTGAGAAAGTGTAATTTATTGTTAGCAGGAAAGAGCTAAACCGAGTTAAAGTTTCAGTCAACTCTGATCTCGGGTAACTTTTTTTTGTAAACTAAGTGAATTTTATTGACAGTGTTCACGTATGTTACAGTACTAGTTCTGAATCTTTCGTCTCGTGTTCAGAGTTTACTGGGGGGCTTTGACGGCACGCTTCATCTACTTTACAAAAGATAACAAAGTGAGGTTAATCGGTGTTCTTTATATCATACTAATATTAACATAATAACGACTCCATAATTCGGCATGTAAGATCACAGAAGACAGACGTTTATCAAGAAAAGGTTGTCAATAAAACGGCCGAAGAAGCAGCTCTCAGCATGGGTGTTATGAATTCAGCTGTTTTGAGTAGCAATACTGTGGCAATGCCAATACCAAAATGTTCCCACAATGGGAGCCACATAACATCTACTGATGCATGTGTTTTGGTCCAAATCTTACTTGCTTCTAGGAGCTACTTTATAACAGTCTTTTACCTTTCAAAAAAAAACGTTTCTTTTTTCCTAGCAACTGAAATGAGCAATGAGTATTTAGATTCGTCTGACCTACCAACAGATAAACGTTTGTAATGGCTGGAGAAATTGTAAATAATGCTAATGATGCCAATATTATCTGCAGAACTACAGATACACTCAGTAGCCATGGTTGACGTAGACAAAATAACTAAAAATGTTTCATCATGATGTAAGCTGTTGAATATAGTTAGAAAGCCACGTAACCTGAACAATGAATGCAGCTAGTGCAAGCGGTCCGTTACCGATCCGAAAAAATGGCACATCAATCGGGATCTAAAAAACAGCACTAGCTAGTTGGATGGTCTTCGTGAAATGAAAGCGAGATAGTAACGTTCAAGATAAATCGTGATAACGTTCTGCTTCGTTCTGCTTGAAATTTTCGCGGAATAAGAAGTTGCGGATTTAGCTGGTTAGCACAAACGACGAATAATTGGTTCCAAGCAATGACGACGTTCACATTCTTTTTCCTCCCCATGTAACTAACTATTCGAACAACATCAGTTGCTCATGTTACCTGTTTCACTATTTTAGGTCACATTAGTGGGATGTTTATCGTAGAGTAGATCTGTATACCTCTACTCAGGGCTTGAAGTGTCAATGTGCGACTCAATTCCACCTTCAAAGAAAGAGTGTTTTAGCTTACAAGGCTGATCCACAGAAAAAGAGGGTGTTTAAAGACCCGACTACTTGCCACTTTCATAATAGAGTATAGTGACAATTTTAGAGCAGTGGAGTTGAGTCCAAATAAGTGGTTTTTCCTGCTAGGCTTCGTTGCGTACTTGGTACTCGTCTTACATTGTTCTTCGTATTCTAAAAGGTCCTTTTCAAGGCTAATTTGTGTTTTTATTAATCACCTTTAGACACACGAGAAATTTGACCGAAAAATCACCCATCGTTATATTTTCTTTTTTGCATAGGGCGAACTTCTTATGATATCTAGTCTTCTTTTCTCGTGAACTCTGTCTTATTATTCATAGTTTTATCTTTTTCTCACTCTGTTTATCCTTCTAATGTTGGATGGGCATCAAGCCTCATTGGTGTTTTTTGAATAAGAGGGTTGTACTCTGTCAGAAAATAAGAATGCTCCAAAGAACCGAGGTATACATTCGTTGAAATTAACTTCCTGATCTGACGTGAGCAGTTAAATTTCATTTTCACCGCAGTAGTATATAGTTTCCATGCGACGGTTTCACCCTGAGCCAATTTTTTTGATTAGGGAAAGGGGGTGGTGAAAAAATAACCGAGATTTTACACTGATTTTCAGTAAAAAAGTACATGGTCCATCTCTTGACTAGTGAATACAGGCGCGACAACAGTAATTATTCCTAGAATAGTTTACCCTACCGGAAATTTTATAATAATCAGCTTTTGCACAGCTAAAAACTTTTCAGTACCCACGAAAGGTAAAATGGGATTTCTTCCATACTTGTATAATCTTCATCGCGGTTTGGGTATGGCCAACAAAGATGTGTTGAGTTTGGGTTAGCATTCACAGGGAAACTTTGAATCGCGGCTTCCAGAAGAGTGACATGCTCGCGTTTCACTTGTTCTTTTAGCAAATGACACTGCAGATGCATGATTTGCCTACGAGATGTACAATGGCTGATTTTTTTCTGTTTAGGTAATTTTTCCCCGTCCCTAAATTAGTGAACGCAGACATTAATTGACGGCATTTCTCGACCACAGTTTGATAAGACTTTTTGAAGTAGCTCATTGCACCTTATCAACAACACATGAGCTGCGCCTGTACTGCTTATCATACCTTATGACAGCTGTGGATAAAGAGTATATTTAAGTGAATATTGTAAAAAAACTATTGGTAGGTTTCATTATATTACTGATCTCCCCATATTGCATACTACAGCACGAAAAATCCTCACCCTACCTCATTATATCTCCACTTTCCCAGTTCAAACACAACGTAACATCCGGTGATAACGACAGCATAAAAAAGTGTACCCATAGCGCAGATCACAGTAATACCTACATAGAAAATTCGTCAGTATAAAGAAAAAACAATCTAAAGTAGCGAAAAAAAAGCCGTTCGTTGTCTCCATCTAACGACGTAACTATGCAAGCAATTCATGCTCTTCTTAAGCTCTCAGCGGCTCCTCCGCAGAGCCGCATCAACGTTTTTTGATTCGCACCCCGATAGGGCATTTGTGTACTCACTGATAGACGGCCGTTGTTTGAAGGAACTAGGAAAACCAATTTCTTTCCCAAAAATTATGCAGCAGGTAAAAGCCGTGAGTGCCTCAGCAGCAAACACCTATAAAGTGCCAGTATTTTTTCTCTTATCCATTTAGTCAACATTAAATTCTTCATACCATAGTTTGAACAGAAATTAGCACGATTTGAGCAATAAATGTCTGGCTTTCTCCTCTGACGAAGATTTCATACGAAGAATATTGGTAAATGAGGTTGATAGAAGCACACATCTTCTCGACAGCAATGCTTACACAGACAATGTTCATCACAAGACGAGTAACAACCTGAGCTCTGAAATAAACAGTACGGAAAAATATTTTTAACTTTATCTAACGGCCAATATCTTTCTTCGTAGCAGTAAGTTATATGAAGTGCAGCCACAATGATGTTGAAGCTCGGAAGCGAAACTCGGAACCCCAGTGGAGCTTCGAATCTACGACTACCCTTTCCGAGGGCACAGACGGAGTGATAGTGAAAATTAACTAGCTAAGATAAAGAAAAAGCAAAGGTTTCGATAGTGTAGCGGATAATATTTTCCAAGTTCACGAAGAAAAAAATATTCAATTTACAATGTTAAGTTCTTATTTACTCCTTATTATTATTTCTCACGGCAAGGTATAATGTAAAGTGCAACCACTATGACGCTGAGATATTTGCAAAACCTGGATCCTAGGTCAGAACAAACCGCAAATACCCTTTCTGGGGACCCACTTATTACGTACGGCACACTGAGCCTCATGCTTTGCCTTTCCCTTAGCCAGTTTTCTACCCAGCGCTGCCAACAGCGATCACTCGTCAACTGAAATGGTCTGTAGAGCACAAATCGGCATTGAACCCAGCCAATTTGTGCTCCCCAGATCATTCCCGTTGAGGCTAATTGGTGACGGTACCGTTACGTAGAAAACTAGCTGAGAGGAAAGCAAAGCAAGGGTATCAGAGTTGCCCTCCGTAACAAAAGAGTCCTCAGAAAAGATGATCACAGTTCGATCTGGCATGAGGTGGAGGTTTTGCAAATATCTTAGCGTCATAGTGCTTGTATTCTATTTACATTTCATGTCAATAACAAACTGTTAGAAAATCATCTCTTTGAAGTCGAACGTCGTGATAATCACACATCTGTATTGGTTCGTCTGTTCCTCCTCTGTTATTGAAACAACTTTCACAACATTGGTTTTGTGAGCCAAATATCCACAATTTTAGAAACTTTCAAATTGTTGTTGCATGCATGGTGGTGATGTTGAGAACCTGTAGTTATGACTGCTGAGTATCCCAGTTGATGCAAACAGTATGGCGATCCACAATAAGTCTCCACCCAGGAATTCTCCTCTCCACCTTACGTCAAGCAGGCCCAGAATGCAAAGAGCGAGAAGTGCAGCTCCCCATAGCAAATGCAGTATCGAAAGAAATCTGCGAAAAGAAAGCTAAATCACTGCAATGATATTAGCGTTCGCTTGTATCATCACCTGCTCTGAATTACCGTGCCTTCGTCAATACGGGCATTCATTGTAACGAAATCCAGCTGTTGTAGGCATGTACCGACAACAACTGATGAAAGAGCACAAAGAAAGTAGAGTATCCCTAAACGGACTACTTGTTATGCTTCTTAAACTCCATTCAAGAAATGTTTTTCGAATTAATTCATCAGATATTCAATAAGAAATAAAATAAACCAAAACATCCAATAAGTACTCCGTGAGCCACGACGATGGTATACCCAAATGCATAGCTGGAGGAGAAGAACGGATCTGAATGAGCTTTTAAAACTTCTGTGAAATTCTCATGTATATTCTGATTATAATAGGGAAATAGAGCAATGGAGTACTAGTGATGTATATCAGCTGGATCAAAGGTTAATTCACTCCGAGGCTAATCAATAACCATCACTTCCATCATCACCGTTACGTAGACCGCTAGTAATGACACTTTAAGCGATCCGTTATTGAGCACATTTTAAACTAACCGTTAAGATCCTTGCCAAGATAAAAGCGTTTTAGGTCATTCTTGTAGAACGGTACCATGTTGTGATCAACGGTTTTAATGCACCAAACGGCAGCAACAATAGCCAAACCCATGGCGACATGAATTGAATGAAAATGTTAGTTTAATTTATTGCTAGCTGGCACTAGTTGCTTCTAGATTTGAAATAAAGTGCAAGAAGTATTGTGACGTTTAGATCCTTTATTTTTACCATCAGATTCAGCTGTCCTATTCTTCGTTTTCTACTTGCTAGAATATCAATCAAACTGCTGACAACAGCCAATAGTGCCGCTATGTGTTCCAGAGCAATTTTAATATGTTTGTCCGCATAAGCTTCCTAAAAAACGCAAGATTAGAGAATTAAGACTTCTGAGTAGCTGTAAAAATGAAACAAATTCCTTTTGATGTTTTCCAATTCTCCAAAAACTCACATTTCTCGGCAGTTTGTTGTAGTTTAAGATCTACTACAACCTTTACCTTCGCTGTTACAAACTTCGTGGAAACATCGTTTATGTAAATATGCAATAGACTTCTCACTCTAATTGTTTGGTTAAGTCCCCTTGAAATATTGCGGCTACTAAGGTTCCCGCACAAATATAAGCAATGTTATTCGGGTATATAGATCAATTAAGGCTACTCCAAATTCATTTACCTTTTCGTGTTCGTATTCAACAAAGGCTGCAAGGCCAAGCGCTCCCGTTCCAAGAAATAGTTTCATCACAGCTATGGAAACCAGTATTTTGGACCAGTCGTGCATGATCGGTTCTCGATCTTCCTAAAACTTCAATTTCTTACACGGCTGTTTTTCTTCTACGACGTATCCCTACCAACTCCATTGGATACATAGGTAGAGCCGAAGTGACCAACTTATCGAGCAAAAATATTGAAACCAGAGCTATTAAGGTGGCCAAAAATCCGTCTCCTGTAAAAAGTCTGCCATCTCTAGAGTAGTATTAATCGCGAACATTGACTTGTTTCATAAGATTACAGTAACAAGAATGACTGTTTATTTTACTAGTACATTTTATCTTACATGACTCATATCACATCTGCCATGCGGATCCCAGCATATATTATATTTGATTCGTTTCCCTCCATCTATCATATGCGAAGGTCTGCGAATTCGACTGCTGCTTGAGGATTGTTGTCTTTTTCATGAACGTCGTTGAATTCTGGTTGAGTTGGTCCTCGTTACAGGCCTCAGATAATCAAACTAGAGCGCTCCCACTTGAACTGCACAAAGTTCACCTTTTCCAGGCAAGCCGCTCGTCGTGAGATCGAAGCAACACTAGTGATGATTGGCATCACTACCACTGCGCTACTCGCCCCTCTAATAATAATAACAGTAAACAATTATTTTTATTACTATTATAACCACAATGATACTGCGGTATTTGGAAAACTCCCAAAAGCAGGTGTCTGCGGTGGGGATCTAGCATGTTATCACACTTTTCGGAGACTAACGCGTTCACTACTGCATCATGTGGGTCCTTTGTTTCGTATTTCTCTCAGCCGTGTTTTTAACTTATAGGTGCCATCAGCAATCACCCTTCAACGAGAATGATCTGGGAAGCACAAATCGGCATTAAACTAGTTAAGCTGAAACTGTGGCATAAATCATAATGTAATCCCTTTTTATTTACTGGTAGGGGGAAATGGGTAATAGCGAGCGTGTTCGATCCACTGCAAACACTTGCGGATCACAGTTTTTACAAATATCTCAGTATCACTGTGGTTATAATTCGCATCATACTCCGCCATGAAAAAGAATAGGTAGTAACTAAAAAGTGATTGCATAATGATAAAAATAATAGTAATAATACTAGTTATTATTATCAACAATATTAGCAATAATAATCAGTGTTGGAAGCGCAGCAGTAAGAGGTGCCATGTAGTGGGCGTAGTAAGTTTCAGATTCGACCCCATCAGTCTAACCTGGCCTCCCATCTTTTCGCAGTCGTCAAATTGCACCAGAATAGTCTATGAAAAGAAAAAAAGACGCTCTCTTTGACACACAAAGCAGGCGTTTGTTTGTGGTCAGGACCTGAGAACGTGGCACCACTGTTATCCCAGGATTAACAAAGAGAACCAAACGAACGAAGCATTAGGACACATGTGAAGAAGAGACATGTAATTAAATCGGTAAATAAATCAAATAATTCGTAATGACGTCGATTGTAATAATATAACATAAAATGATAGCAAGCACAATGATACTAAATTAAAATTATTAATGAAGAAATACTCCCACTGGCAGCGAATATTATTATTTTAACTTAATAATAGCAAAGAATAAGAGCAAATAATAATTGAAAGCGATAGTGATGCTAATACTGATAACAATAACTGTGGTTGAAGTAGTAGTAATGAGGCGAATGAGAAAAAAAGGAACAATAGTGAGCCGACCAGACGCAGACGTTAGAAAGAAAAGTTCACCTATCATTAATGCTGTGATAGTGATTCGTACAGGGTAGCTGCCGTAGATGCTTGTAGGTAAGGCATTTTGGATTTCACCCCTGGGGATTTCTTGAGACCGTGAAGTACTTTGCTCCTCTACCACCTGAAACTGCAATTTTAGCTAGGTGTAGAGAGACTGAATGGTAGTAAAAATCAAGCCACTTTTAATCTTGACACTCCTCACTTCTTCACTTCCCTGCCAGCTAATATAGAAACCGCAGCTGGACCAATATTCAGAATAAACTCATTCAGAGCTCCTGAACTTACTCGATATGTGGCGAAGCCGTAAAAAATAGCTGTAACACATCCGATTGCAGCTGAGATACAGTAGTGTGTCTTCGCCACTGCGCCGCTATGGTTATGGACAACAGAATAGAATCCTTTGAAAACAAATTAGAAAAACAGTGTTTTACGCGTGATCTACACTCAATCTCTAAAAATATACCAATGACTCCGGTAAGAGCATGAATACAATTCAGCAGACGCAGATCAATATTCCTGGAAGAATAAGCTTGAGAAGTGCGTTTGCTAAGCTTCATAGCTCTTTCACAAAGCCGACATAATCTTCGGCTAATATACTTTCCTACCTGTAGTTGTCCAGACGAACGCTCGAGAACTGACTTCCAGCCAAACCGATAGCAGCCAGTCCAAGGATTACCAGTGCTATATTGCAGACCTGAGAGGAAATGATAACACAGCTGCAAAAAGAACGTGTATTTTTATGTCTTTTCAGAATGCGTAGATCTGAAAAGTTGAATTGTCCAATCTATGTGCGACTAGAGCGACTACGAAACCGCAGCCCTATTTTAGAACGTGCTATGAACTTGTAAGAATGCAATTTCGTGAATCTTGAATCTCTGACCCAATTCCACATTCCAAGACCAGAACAGCCTTTTTTCTTGGATATGCTTTCTTCTTTCGTTCTCCACGGTTTCCAATAGAGCGATTACTTTAGTGATTAGAGATAAGGCAGCAACTTAAATCAACGTCTTTGCTCAACTCGTCGATCAGATTTGATGAATGTAGGGCGCAAAATTATCAAGGACAAAGTGAACAATCACAACGTTGCTGAGATATTTGCAAAACTGTGGACCGCAGGTGCCTATGGTGCAGAACGAACGCTATTGCGCTATTGTCCTTTCCGGGGAATAACGCGTTCACCACCACACCATGCGGATCCTTCGTTTCGCGTGTCTCTCAGCTAGTTCTGACGATCTTTTGCCATCGCAATCACCCGTCAACGGGATTGATCTGGAGATCCCAGCTTCTGAGCGTTCTCCACCATAGTCACCTGCGGTCCAGAGTTTTGCAAATATCTCAGCACCGTTGTGGTTGTATTTCGCTTAGTAACCTGCCATGAAAATTATAGAAGGCAGAAAACAAAACGTTAAACAAAGTGAACAATGTTTTAATTAATTTAAAATTTTTAATCGCTTCTTTTTTCTCAACACTTTTTCAGTGTTTACTCGAATTTTTCGTCTTCCTTGTACATTAGAGTGTCAGTTTTATTCAGCTCAGGTAGAATAAGTAAACAAATGACATGCACTAAAAGATTGGACCTGTATCTGGCAAACATATGCTGAACGTGCACTCATATTGGCAGAGAGTAGAAGAGCATTCAAGGGACCGTGTGCTGTAAATCATTTTCTCATATAAAGGAGTAGCAAAAATGAAATGGCATGTAGATTTGGATCGCGCAATTCGGTTTAAAATTGTGGAAAGACAGATATAGTATTAAAGGACTCAATTACTCACCTCGGAGCATTCAGAATCATTGTAAAAAAATGAGCTACCGTTTAAAAATTTTGTCGCTGCATGGACATGAAGATCTGATCTGCTTTTGCGTTAAGTCTAGAGGTTTAACGAGTGAAATGATCGAGGACACTTTAAGTAGTTGTTGAGGAAAACAAGATTTAAAACGCCGAACTTTTTCGATAACCAGATGACATGAGATACTCCGCCAAGTATATAAGTTTTTGACGTCGATATCAGCAGTAGTGACCGAAATAGTTGTTTGTGCAATAAAGGAAGGTGCTTTAGTAATCGGCTTTCCAGCGGCGGTCAAGTATAAGATCGCTAATCCACGCGAAAATGCAGTTCGTTGGAATCACGTCGCTCTCGCCCATACCTGCGAACAGTGCCTGCATAAGAGGTCAACTTTGCACTATTATGTGAAGAATCCATAGACTTCGCGGGAACTGACTGATATGCGCGCGTCGGAACTTCCGCATAATCATCTGACCTGAATTTGTATGAGAAATCCTACCGCCGACATTAAAATTTCTAAATGGATTTTACGAAGTTTCTGCACCAAATGCACTGAGACACATCTTCTCAGTCTTTTTTCCCAAAAATGTACTTCAGGGCACCACAAGAACGAAGTGGAATGCCATGTAATGTCCGGCGCCTTTGTCTGAAAAGCAGTGTCTACTGAATCGGAACATAGGTGTATGAAACCTTTTCAAGTGATTTATACTGTACTTTCGTTTTTACTAGAGACAGTGTTAAATTCTCTAATTATTAGCACGATTTTTTTATCCTGATAATGAATACACATCGATAAACGCTTGATTAGAAGCTAATTCCATTAGGTGAGGAACCTCGGCTGAACATGATATGGTCATTATCTAACCAGAATTAAATGAAAGGATTTCAGAAGTACGTGATGCATGAAAACGCTTGAACAAACAGGAACATGAAGTGTTTAGAAGATTGGTGGAGTAGACTTGTGAGTGAAGGTCCGGAAATTCCGCGAAGAATCCAGATCTCTGTTTGTGTCCGTTCTCCACCCAACCATGCCCCTCCTCCCACCAACATTTCCGCTATGCAAACATGCGTTGAACACGGGGTTTTTAATGAACCTAGTAGAAACGCACTTTTGATTTGCGCCATTTTGGTCCGAACACAAAAAACAAGTAGATTAAGCATCCGCATTGCCTTAACTATACATTCAGGACAGGATCGGTACGGCGTCATGACAAGGGTGTACTATAAAGACGCCCACGCTGCAGTAATCGTCATGGACTCTACGAGGCACGATTGCGTTCTGTCTATCTTCTCTTACTTACATCGTCGTTCTGCCATAGAACGATCTTATGTTCAGCGTCGTAAGTATTACGAATTGCTTATTAATTTAAGGGAACAAACTATCGAAGGAGCATGTCGATGGAAGGCCGACCTTGATCAAAAGGTCACTCTAGTAGACGGAAGCCACGTACCTGCCATCCTTGTTGTAAATAAAGTCAGTTTGAGACAGAAGTATAAGCATTTCCGTTTGAAATCCTTTGTTATGAAATAGTTTCAAGCTCGTCCTACGCTTTTCTAATTGTGTAAATTATTTCTATAATGCTGAGATATCTGCAAAACTCCGGACCGCAGGTGCCTACGGTGGGGATCGAACGCGTTATTGTCCTTTCCGGGTAGTAACGCGTTCACTACCACTCCATGTGGGTCCTTCGATCGATAGAACTAGCTGAGAGACAGGCGAGACGAAGAACCCGCATGATGTGGTGGTGAACGCGTTACTCCCCGGAGAGGACAATAGCGTGTTCGTTCCCCACCGCAGACACCTGCGGTCCGGAGTTTCGCAAATATCTCAACATTAAAGAAGTTATATTTCGCAACATACCCTGCCGTTAAAAGGAATAAGGCAGTAAATAAAAGGGTTAAGATTGTGTAAATTATGTGATGGATTCGAAAGAAAAAGGCCCTGCTCTCATTTCTCTGCGGAAACTTTGAGATTTCTGTTTACAAACGACAGGAACCGTTCCAACAAATTGTGGTGGGGAGCAATCTTTCCACACGCGATCTCCTCCTCTCTGCCAAGGAATCTGAAACAAAGCGATGAAAGTTATGGTGCTCTTTATGATACTAGTCTGCACCGTATTCATTCGTATGCTCGTATGCCTGCTCCTCGGTTCCACGGGGCTAGGTAATTTTATGCAATCTAAATTCCTTGAATTAGGTGAGCCCATAAAATTTTTTATAGCAATAGATGAGAAGAATAGAATTCAATGACCAGTCAACAATTTCATAACTATTATTTCAGTGTGACATAGACAACCAAATAAACGAGAAGGACCTTAACGATTTGAAGGTGAAGAACGGTTTTGTTAGCGTTGTTCGAGCATCGGCTAAAGCCAATTTCGGGATTCAAGAGACATTCACTGCAATTGTACGCAAGGTGCGTTTCCTCTCTCACATTCAACGTCCGTGGCAGTGATCGTCCTCCAAGATGATGAGTTTCGCCGGTGTTATTCCACCATTCTCGAACCTTTACCATTTGCTTTCGATTGAGATCTTTTCCACTGTTCTCTTCGTCTATTTGTCGTCAGTTTTGCTCAACAACAATTTGCGACGAATGTGTTTTATCGATAACAGACGGTAATTTCTCCATCAACAAAAAAGTGGAGAAGTTGGTAACTTTACAAACTTATAGAAGAGACCTTGCTTTTCTATTGCCTCAGAGGTATATATACTTTTAAAGTGTTCTTTAAATTACAAAAAGGATTAAAATTAAATTGCTGGAAAAACTGGAAACGAATTTCACATTCTTAAAAATCCCACGCAAGCTCGAAAGATACAAGCACCAACGATATATTGATGAACGCCATCATATACTGCTGGATGGGATCCCACCTGTTCATTCGCTTTCGGGTTCTAAAAGGGAACTGTGACCCTAAAAAAAAGGCTGGAAAAAGGCAGCTTTTGGTCCAGAGAATCATAATTTCGTCCCACTAAAAGGGAGGTTTGCCCTATAGGCAAAAACTTGTGGATTCCAATGCTTTCTATTCCAATTAATGAAATTCAATATGATGCCGGGATATGTTGGCTTATGATTTAAAGTGGGTAATATTTTCGAATTTTATGACTCTCTGCGAAGGTATTAAATAGTTAGTCGGTACGTTTTGCTTCCCAAGTTTACTCTCCTATGTCTTGAAGACGTTTTTCAAAAGTCCGGACGGCACAGTGCGGATTTATGATTTTGTGCATGTCGAGTGGGTTTCGTCCACGCGCCCTGTAAGAGGTCGTCTAAATTCTTAACAAAGTTCTAGCTTACGTCTCTGCAACAAAGCAGAGCGTCGGCAGAATCTCCGATTTTTCCTCATTATTTGAGCAACCTAATTTAATACACTTATGACCACGGAGATTGCACCGAACAATAACGATGTGGCTGCAATCTATACTTACACTTGTGTTGTTGTTTACAAGTATTAGAAAATTTTGTTCGTATTTTTGTTGGGCAAACGCGAGGTGTTACTATTCTTTGTTCACGATTAAGCTGACGTTTCGGCGGATTTCGCCTTCTTCAGAGCCTGGAAAGGTCAAGTTGATAGCAACTCACTCGGCCAGACGCCTCTATAACCAAACAAAGAAACTCCAAACCAAGATTTCAATCACTTTGAACACAGCTTTGCACACTCACAGCTTTCTATGAGGTTTCCACTAAGTATGTCACGTAGAGACCAACCGCACAGAAATCACGTGGGAGTATAATGTGCCCCTGGCATCAGAAAAGCAGTTTTATATACTGCCCTATATCACGTGTGATAATGAGGCATTCTTCCCTGCGGTTCATTTTCGGATT